CACTTTGATTTAAAATCAATTTCAACTTACTTCTAACCCTTACCACTATCGATCTCATCAATATTTATATTTATTCTGACTTTTTCGTTATGCACACATTCTGTATCTCGCACGTATAGTGTTCTCCAGTTCGTTGCCTAAGTCTTTCGTATTTTTCATTGCTTTGTCCTTCGCCGCCGCTGCGCCTTTGTATATGTGCGTTGTATTGACCCAAGCAATTTACACGGATCGTTCAATAAGCAAGAATCAGTAAATATTTTATTAACCCCTCGACAAATATGGCTGGAAAATCAACAGAGAGGCGGCCAAGGCCGGTCGGGAGATATTTTTAATGTTTGTCATTAAACACGATGAGCGGGTCTCATCCAGCGTGCAGCCACTAATGGCCAATCGCTTGCCAGCCATCCTGTCTTACGTCATGAGATGAGCTCACTGCAGTGTAAAAAGTCGCGTGACAAGATGCCACATGACAGCTCCATGGAGGAGCGGAGACGAGGAGCAGCGGAGTCGAGGGCCACGTCAAGTCGCGACTGTGAGGCATGCCAGGCATAATTAAATCGGCCACAGGGTCGCCAAGGGTTGGGGGCAACAACGTTTTTAATTAAAATTTAATTGCTGCCATCCCAGAACTCCGAACTCCAATCTATTTTTCACGGCTCAGCGAGCAAGCCATCTTTCTCGAGCAGTGAAATCAATTTGTTCTGACAAGCTTACTGGGATCGACGTTGGCGGTTCGTGCGTTCATTGGCCGCCAATGTCAGCGGATGGCCGTGAAAAGGCCAAAAGTGTTCGAACATGTAAGCGGCTTTATGGCCGATATTGATATTTTAATGCCTGCCACCGCCGTGTTTGGAGCGAAGGTCACTCGGTCGATTTGGCTGCGACTCCCACGCATTCGTTCGGCGTTCGGCGTCCAGTGTGAACCTGTTTCGGGGACCGTATTTGGATGCATTTGCATCCATTCCCATATGAATATGAATCCACATTCGACACACGGTCACATATATGTTACATACCTCCATCTATGATGAAGAAGTGTTATAATGACATAATAGGCTTTCTACCGTTAGAATCTCTGCCGCCTGGAAATCTTCTTGAAATCTTAAATGTCACTTTATTATGCTTTTTATTGGCCCATTGTCTCGAGATGATGATGATGCCCGGAGGCTGAGAACTAACACTTGAAACATAACTGTCAACGCTTCTTGGCCAGAGTTGGGTTCTTGGGCAACAAAGGAAGCCCCTGCCGGTTCTTTCTCCCCCTCCTCCCCCTCCTCCTGAGTCTTGTTTTAAGCCATACAATCGGAGAGTCACAGAATTGGACAATGCCAAGCGACGGAAACGCTTCGGAGCTTGTGTTGGGCAATAAATCGCACACCGGGACTGGAACAGAGTAGAGCCGCAAGTCGTCGGCTTATTCTTCTTCTGGCCCTCGATTAATACCGGCTATAACAACAAACAAACAAACATCGGCCATCATCTGGCCATTAAGAATTAAGCCCGCCGGAGGAGAGGAGAGCCCTCCGAGCCCACTTAAGCGGAGAACTTCCGTGCCCAAAATCTGCCGAGACCCAATTACAAAACTTCCGAGCCGTCGGTGTATATATAAGTAGTACTATACTTGCCACCGTCATTACCTCACCTTTCTTCTTTTCGGTCGAAGCCATCGAGTGTGTACTCGATTTGTTTCTGCCTTCTGGTGCCCGTTGGAATTACCACAGCGCACCGATGGGCGAATAACCCGTTAGAGATACACATAGCGAAAAGGTTTCTGATCGGATTCTAAATTGGAAATCAATAAAGCTATACGAAATATAAGAATATATTGTTAAGACTTTATTAATGTCAATATATGGATTATTCAGTATTCATTTATATAGATTATTCCTGATTTAAGTTTCGCGAAATCTATTGTATTTCTGTGCTGTTTTGCTATGCCAACTTTAAACAAGAATGTTTTATAGATTCAAGCAGAAAAGATGAAAAGGTTTAGATAATTTACATTAAAAAACCATAATTGATTCCACAATATGCCTTTCTCTTGCTTTAATTCTCTTCTTTCAAAACAAAAAGAAACCTTACACAAGTTTCTTTCCCCCCAAGAACAGAATACAATTAAAATTAATTACAACAAACCTCAAATGTTGATAAGCAGGTGGCAAGTTAAGATTCCTGCCTGCCCCAGCGGAAGTTCAATTAAAATTTCCTTAATGAAGGGAAATTGCATCACACATTCTTGGATTTCCCAAGTTCCTTAGTAACTATCGCCATTAAAATTCATCATGCAAACTTGGCTAATTTGCGAGGAGATAAGGCCCACGGATCTTTCAGAAGGGGCGGCTGGCTAGACGTCACACCTGGCTGATCGGCTTTAGCACCATTCTGATGGCGCAGCTCCAGGAAGTGCTCCATAGCCCCCACTTGCGACCATCGCACATTCAACTTCTGAGTGGCTGCAGCCGAGCGTGAATCTTGCTGAATGCATAATGAGAAGGGGCTGTGCCGCTATTGTAAGTACATTATGCTGGTACTCGAGGTTCATGTGGCCGATATGGCTTCTTGGCATTAGCATTAGGCAGGTGACCAGCTTGGAGTGGCTCAGCTCATCTATGGAATCGGGTGCAAACAGGTTTTGCTCGTCTACGTATTTGTCAGTAGGTGGTAATGGGGGTATTATTCTCATTTTAATTTGAGCATCTAGAAAGCACCTATTTAATGTGGAAAGTAGATGTAATTTGAATATCAAGGTGTTATTCGGGGTAAGGTGTTTCAAGAGACAATGAAGACTTTTATAATTACTCCTAGTACTTACTTTATACATTATTATTAAATAACTAACCCAAACCATTATCTTTCCCCCTTTTAGGACGATGGAGGAATCGAATTCTTCAACACCATTGTGCTGCAACCACATCTAAAGCTCATCACCGATTTGGGACGCGGCTACCATGTGAGATGTGCCTACAAAAGCCGTGATGCCGCCATTAAGCCCAAGAAGCACCTGCGTAAGCATGCCCAAAAGCCGCAGGCCTTCCGCAGTGATGATCGGCGGGACTATGGCCGATCTCTGGACAAGCAGCAGCAGGATGACGACCTGGACGAGGAGGATGTGTACGATGCCAATGCCCCGCAGGAGGTGGAAGAGGATGTGAGCAACAACGAGATTCCTATGCCCGGCTGCCACATGAAGATCTACAATGATGAGCACAAGATAGCCGATGACGTGAAGATTGGTGATCCGCTCACCCTGGTGATCAGCATCGATAGGCAGCAGGTGTACGGCCTACATGTCACAGACTGCATAGTTCGCGATGGCTTGGGATGGGGAGAGCAGCGACTGGTCGGCGAAGATGGGTGAGTTTAGCTCGAAGTCATGTGGTTTGCATTTATTTTAAGCCATAATATTACAGCTGTCCCATGGACAATGAAATTATGGGCCAGTTCAACTACACCGAGGATCGACTGGCCGCCAATGTAACTTTTCCTGCACACAAGTTCCCGTACACGACCTCCGTCTACTATCAGTGTAATGTGCGTCTGTGCGCTCTGGAGGATCCCACCTGCCAGGAGGCGCCTTTGTGCAGCGGAAAGCGGCCAAAGCGACAGACCGCCGTCGATAGCAAAGAGGAGGACGGCCTACCCGCCACCATCGAGGTCTTCTCGGGTCTGTATGTGAATGAGAACGAAAACGCCAACGACAGCGATGATGATGCGGTGTACAAGGAGAAGGTAAGTAGATCAGTTGGATTTAAGTATTTATATTCCTTATATTAAGAATGTATTTCCCAATTTCCAGACCCTGGATGATGCCCTGTGCGTGTCACAGCGTACCTTCGCCATAGCCATTGCCATTGCCGGCTTGATCCTGATGCTGGCCGTGGTCGCCGCCGTACTGTGCATTATGGCTCGCCGCAGCACCAAGACGGTGTCCAACTCCGGCAGCTCCATTTACAGCGGACCCTACACGAACACCGCCTTCTCGCACAGCAGCTAAGCGGCGTGAATGAGTCAAAAAAAAAAAAAGAAATTCAAAATTCAAATTGTTTCCAAAATCAAAACACTCAAAGTGTTGAAAATCAGAAAGTTTACACCAGGATAAAATTCAGTCGCGCAGGTGCCGCTGCGGTAGTCAACGATTGATAGAAATGGGAGCCACTTAGTCTGTAAGGATGCCGGATGCTGGAGCGGAGCAGTCAGTCGTCCAGCGGCTGTCTCTAGATTAAGCATAATTAGTCTTAGTTCACAAAATGTTGTGCAGAGATTACCGGGCAATGGTATGGGTTCATTGTCCTTAATTGCCCGCTAATGTCGCAGAGCTCCGACGAAGGATACCCCATCCTTGGAGCTCTGTTCCGCACAGTCGGTGTTGGACTCGCCCTTCCTTCAGACACTCCACTGTAAGTGTAAGCGTGTTTCTACTACCCCTACTCGTCCTCTTCCTTCTTTAATTTAATCACTCGAACTAACAACGAATGCAGCAGCCGACGCTCAGGTGATATTTGTACTCGTATCTACTTAATGTCTAACTTTTATTCGTAATTTATTAATTTATCGGATGCCTAACTGCCAAAGGTCCAAAAACTGCACAAGCACACGACCCTCGACACTCTCAGTAGAATTTCCTGAATATTTTCTTGTCATTGTTTTTACTTGAACCAACTGCACTCCGGATCTGGACTTGGGCAGGAGCCCTTATCATAAAGAAGCCGTCCCGATCAGCCACTTACTATATATAGTTTATATATAATAATAAAACAAAACAAAAATCTGGCAACAGTTCTCAAAGTAGTAAGCCTAGGCCTTTGCACAGCTTCAATCGAGCATTCCGTCTGGGAATGCTCCTCTGGAGCCGTTCAATTACACAATTCAATTCATATTATAAAAGCTCAATTATAGTTTACGCTGTAAGTTAATATTAATCATTGAACAATAAACGCAAATTGATCTAAATAACTTTTGTGACTCTTGAGTGACATATAATGAATGTAGGGGTTGGTTAGAATAGGATAAAGAGCTGAAATGGAGCATTGCAGATCAGTTTAACTTTGTAAACTGACAAGAATAGATAAGTTTTTGAGTAGCACATGGGGTTCTATTATATTTTACTGCTGCTGAGCCTCCTGGGTGGCCTGGCAAGATGTTCTCTAAACTGTCCCACTGAAAAATGGCATACTCTGCAGTTTCACCTGGTGCGGCAGTGTCAACGAGCCTCGACAGATGACGCTCTGGCTCTAGAGAGCACCGCTTCATTGGAGGAGTGCGCTAACCTTACACGGGAACTGCGAGGCCTGGCCTTTAACTATGCATATGCGTAGTCAATTGACTGTTTTTGAGCAGCCAGGGGAGTTCTTCAACTGCCATGTGCTGCCCTGTCCACAAAACCATACGTTCTCAGGAATGGTCAACGACAGTCGCTTCGATTATTACAGCTTGTATGGCAGGCCAACAGGTTGGTCTTCATAGTGGATAAGTTAATACAAAATTTAACTGAAATGTATAAGTTTTTATGACCAGTTGTTAGGAACTACACCTGCCTGCCGGAAGTCGGTCTATTTGTGGTTTATACCTCACCAGCTTCTTATCTGAATGCTTCCCTGACCTGCTCAAATTCCTCCGAGTTTACTGGTAGCTTAGCCCATATTGCCACCGAATCCCGAACAAGTTTCCTGGCTCAGTGGCTGCTTCGGTTCAACAGGAAGCTACTTAGTCTCCCAGAGCCAGAGTCCAATGTCTTCCTGGCCTACGTGGGTCTGGCGTACAACCGCTCTACTTCACTGAGTCCTATGGATTTTCGAAACTCTCAGCAGGAAAGCCTGCAGTGCTTTCTGTATAGGGCCTGGGATACAGGTCATCCTCGTACCAGGTGGGTAACTCACAAATTTCCAGACTCATGACTTGATCTCCCACTTAATTGCAGTCAGGAGCAGGCTAATGCCAGCTGTGTGGCGCTGACGGCCCAAGGTACTTGGCAAACCCTTAGCTGCGACCGGGAGCTGCCCTTCATCTGCGAAATTCACACAGCAAAAGCCACCACTAGCTGGGAGAGGGATGGTGCCGAGCTGGACATCGGGCCGAATGCGGTTTTTGAGTGCGGCAACGATTGAGTATGGGCAGAGATATCCGCAGCCGTTTTATTCACTTAAGCAGTTTTTCAAACACAAAAGCCAAATATAGTAATTGTTGTGTGGTGTTCGCCCGCCCGCCTCTCGCACGCCGTGTGGAAAGTCTGTAACTGGATCAAGATCGAGTAGAGTTGCAGGAGGTGCCACCAGCGGAGTGCCGCTTAGTGGTACTTGTAGTTCCTGTGGTGCTTCAACTTGGTGTAGTTGATCAGATAGAAGAACGTCATGCTGGCGACGGTCAGCTGGAAGAAGGGAGCGATGCCAGCGCGCTTGGGGAACACGTACTTGTGCTGCCAGCGCCACCAGGCACGGCTCACGGCTCCGGCAAGGGCATTGGGGCTCTTGTTGCGGCGTCCCAGCCAGGCGCCCAGCTCTCCTAACTTCACCTGTCCGAATGGCACATCGGCTGTGGAAGAATTATGTAAATAGTAAGTTTGCTGGCCAGTGTAAATGTGCTCCAAACGCCTGCCGCAAAAAACGGTGCGCTTAAAATTACGTAATTTCGCGGATGGTGCTCACCTTTGCCGTAGAATCGGGCCGGGTCGTAGGGACCGTGCACCTTGGGGTTATACTCAGCAGGATAGTCACCGAAAGCCATCGTGCTGGTTTTGTTGGAAAATATTGTTAAATAACCTTATGAAACGAAAAATTATGCCTGCTTACTTACTCGTTCGATACCAAGTATGACAGTAAAACGATATCAGTGAAATGGTCACATTTAATTCGATAAAGTTTTCCGCATTTTACAACCACTTTCATAAATGCACAAGTATTTTCTGGATAAACGCCGGAAACATATAAACAACGCAAAATCGGATCGATATAGTGGCATGGCATTGGCTTTGCTTAATTTTTATGTGGTAAAAAAGAAAAATACTAATAAGACATTGTCATTAGAATTGGTATCCACAAACCAACGCCACCTGGCCACACTGCAACTCCAGTATATACAGAAATCAAATAGGATTTTTGCAAGCCTGCTTGTTCGAATTGGAATCCAACCAATCGCAAGGCCAAGTTGTAAACAAAAACAATGAAACTGGAAGAGCTGCTAGCCAAAGGATCGTCCTCGCCGCCGGAGGACGACGACGAGGACGAGAAGGCCGAGCTGAAGCCACAGAAGTCGAGCAGCGCCACCGCGGACGAGGGGGCGGAGAATGCAGAGGATGCGGCCGAGGACGCTGGCGAGAAGGAAGGCGCGGGCGGCAAAAAGAAGGGCACGCGCAAGAAACGTTCCCTCAACTGGGAGGAGGCCGAGCGCGGCCTACTCCTCGAGGTCATCAAGTCAAAGGTGGCGTTCGTCGAGAATCGCAGCGTGGATGCCAAGAGCATAAAGGCCAAGCGACTGGCCTGGTCACAGATAACGAAACAGTAAGTTGGCATTGTATAACTATCTACCTAAGATACATATCTCTAATGTCCATCCCCCTTTAGGTTCAACGCGCTTAACTTTCGTCACAGACTGCTGGAACAGATCCAGGTGCAGTGGCGCAGCATGAAGAACTCCGCCAAGCGGGAGCACCAGCAAAAGCACCCGAAGGCGGAGGCTCTCGAGGGCATGCGCATGATCGAGTTCATGGAGGAGATGCAGAAGGATCCAGTCACATCGCGCAGCCAGACGCGCAGCGCCAACACGAACGGCGCGATCAAGAAGGAGCTCTTGGACATCGACGAAGACGAGGACATGCCGCTTGCCGCTCTGCCCAACTCCACGAACGCCAGCGAGGACACCCTGCAGACGTCCACCATAGCCATCCCATCGCCGCCGCCGTCAACCGCCGGTGGGGATGGGGACTCGCAGCAGGAGAGCACTCCCGCCGCCCAGCAGCCCGCCCAACGACGCAAACGGGCCAAGGCCAAGCAGTTGCCGTTGGCTGGCGCCAAAGCAGAAACATCCGCCGAAACGGGGGAGGAGAACGAAAAGACAGCAGGCGCCCCGCCGCGGAAAAGGCGGCAGAGAAACGTAAGTAGGGGGAGGACATAGATGAAGCTTTTAAAATAAATGAGATATTAATGATCTACCTTTTTCCACAGCTCTCGCAGGCCCAGTCGGTGCTGTCCGACGAGAATGAAGCCTCCAACAGCGTAGCTCCCGTCACCACGCTTCAGCAGTTCTCTTTGGGTGGCACACCAGTGGCCGCCGAAACGAATAGCCAGCCAGCCGACCTTGTCAGCACCTCCGAGATGGAGCAAAAGTACAAGCAGGACCTGTTCAAGCTGCTGAAACAGGCTCGATTGGCTGAGATTGACTATGCCCGGCGGGAACACGAGCAAAAGCTGCGCTTCGAGCAAATGGAGCAGGAAATAAAGATGGCCTACTACCGACAAGAGCAAGACCTGAAACTGCGTCACATGCGTGAGGAACACGACACTCGGCTGCGCCAGCAACGGCGGGAGCATGAGGCGCGCTTGGGCATCTACTCGCTTAAAAGTAGCAGCCACAACGGAAGCATACAGGAACCGAGTGCGGCGAAATGCAATGCCAAAGCGGACTACAACAATGTCCACGACGTCGTCGGGCCATCGACTAGTGCGGAGGGGGCGCTGGCGCTCAATGCCGCCTGCAATTAGAGGCTCACGGGCTCTCGCATGCATATACAATACGAATTGCCAGCAATTAGAGTGTAAGTGCATTTAGAGGAAACATCAACAAGAAACAGTACTTTAAAATTTAGCTTGAAATACGTTTAGCGAAATGTAGCTCATCCGGACATCTGAACTTTTGGACAGCCGGATACGAATACGAATACGAATACGAATACTCATAGACACACTCAAGTTGCCACACGGGCGGGCGCGTTCGCCGCCTGTCGTCACGACAAATGGACTGTTGTTTTTTGTGCATTTCGCACCTCACGAACTCACTTACAGACATTGCATTTTTTCAAGAAAAACTAGTATTATATATTTGTATCTGTATCGGTTAAGTGCTCCGGACAAACAAGAGATCAATTGAAAACGCGGTTGTGTCGTCGAAAAAGAAATAAGAAAAGAAAAGAAAATACTCAAGAACAGGCTCTGAATAAGTTCCCCAAACTACTCCTCCTCAGTCAGTATTCTCTATGGCCACTGTATTATTTTTATGTATTCCTTTTTTAGTTGTAAGCTTTTTTTGTAACGTAACTACCATTTATACATAGTAGGTAACATGTTTCGGACATGTTTGTTCATACATACGGAAGCGGGCATCTTTTATAGCTCGCACATAATCATAAGTTACTGTACGTACGTGTGTTGTATAGCGCTGTAATATCCTGTCACTTGCTTCAGCTTAATAAATGCCGTAATCCGGGCGAAAGCAAGGTCAAATGAAACCCATTAGATAAAGAAATACAAATACATAGTGTGTAAACAGTTGGGAATAGTGTTTAAATGGTATGGGACTTTTAGCTATGTAGGTACTATTGAATCAAAAGTCATACAACTTCAATCCGAACTAAGTACTCGGGGCGTAAATAAGTATTTCTATGGACACCTTATTATTTCTCCAAAACCCTTTTTATTTTAACACAAAGGAACCACTAAATTGTTCAAAAGTTCTTGCAAGATGAAAGACTTGGATCAGACCATAGATACCCTTGAAAATGCCCGTTTCAATTGGCTGTACGCAAATGAGATTGTTCAGATGAGCAAGGACTCCATTTTCACGACGAACGAACTGATTTGCATTGTAATGCTGTACCACAAGATGGTCCTGGCTAATGGACCAAAGGCGAAGTATATGAGTATCCAGCAGCTCACCACTCTCATGCTGGATCTGTTCGAAATAACTGATTGCAACATTAGCACAACTACGGTCTTTCGCATCAGTCATGGTACACAAGGGACCCATCCCGATTTTTGTCCCGACAGGCATGTGAGCTTGGAGTCCTTCGTGAGGCTATTAACCATATATTTCACCAGAGACCTGGATATGAAGATGGAGTTTGCCTTTTCTGTAAGAGAAACCATTTAGTATTAATTTATTAAATGTAAATAGTTTGTACTCATACCGCTGCAGATCTACGACAAGCAAGACAAAATGCAGTTAAATGGCGAGGATGTTGGGTTCTTTCTTAAGAAATTCTTTGATGGCGAGGACGAAGAAGAAGCCACGGAGCTGCTATTGGTAAGACAGGCGGAATATCTACCAATAAATGATATTACAGGAATTTCATGCTGCAGGACATGAAGGAAATGATCTTCCTTAAATTCGATTTAGACAAGGACACGATCATTTCGTTTGAAGAGTACTGTGAGGTGGTACGCAAGCAACCTCTCCTCATGGAGTTCCTCGGACGAGTGTTTCCAACCAATCCCCGTATGGATGTCCTCGCTCTTTGTGCCAACGTAATGTCCTGGTTCGATGACTCACCCAACCCGAGAACCATTCGAAAATCAGCAGCTGCTGAGAATGGCCAGGCACTAGTGGTGAAAGCAGAACCTCGTCGCATCTCAGAAATTTAAATTGCAAGTGTTAATAGTTGTTTTGTCATTTCGAGACCGCATTTTTTCAAGTGCTTCCAGATGACGCCATTCCAAATTGAAAAATGTTTCTTTTAACGGGAATTTTCACCCCATTTATAAAAGGACATACATCGACGTAAATATTATTCAATGGGGAGGCAGCTGGTTGTCAAAGATGACAATGCGCCGGTCAGAGCAACCCTTAGGGAATCTACACGAAAAAGATAATAGTTTTTAAAGTTTATAAACAATGCAAAGCACTCACTTGATTCTATCTTCGAGACACTGTGCCATTGCTCGTGCCCCGAGATACACTCTGCGATAGGTAGCACACTTCCTTGTTGGGGTAACAGGCAAACGTAACGATATCTTTCCCTTGGCAGCTGTGGGCCAAGTCCTAGTTGATTTTGTAGCGCAGCATCTGGTGGTCGAGCTCCAGGGACTAGAACAACTTAGGACTGATATCACTCAGCCAACAGATGTGTTTACAGATCATAATGTCCTGATTCCTATAAGGGGAGGCCAGCAGGGGTACAGCCCGTGACTGACGAGTTAAGATTGTTCGGCGGTCTCTGAGGCATGATCCTCTGCCTGGTGGTAGATGTGATGCAGCACTAAACACTTGGGCCTTGCTACCTCTCCATCGCCGATCACAGCGTTGAGGTCAGCTCATTGAGGTTCTCCTCCAGGGGAGCATTCAGATGGGCTCCTTGTGGCTAGTGAACTTGTGGACATGGCCCATCTTGAGTAAGTGCGAGATCAGCACATTCCCCATGTCAGTTTCCATCAGTTCCCAGCACCTGACTTTGAAGGCCTCTTTCAGGAGTCTCGTGGCGTGATTGTATAAACACCTCCACCCGCAGGTTAGACATGGCAAAATACTGGAAGTGCAACAGGTTCATTTTCCAAATTTATCAATTCACTTTTCAATTCAATTTGAGTTACCAATTAGAAAACAACAGTGTGCCCGCTGGCTTTTCCGTGGATAAATCTTAAAATTCCAGAAAAGGCGCGAAAATCCGGTAAAAAAACGCCAAAATGACAGCTTTCGCAGCAGCTGGTCACACTAAGTCAGCAAGACAAGGTGCTTAAAAATCCCAAGGTGGCAACCGAAGTAAACAATCCAACAGGTCAAAATTCGAAATGGCAACGGAGGAGCACCAGCGCCTGGCCAGCATCGTCAAAAGCTGCCATGAGAGCCTTCGTCAGCTGACGAAGCAGCACGGGGCGACGGTGGCTTGGCAGGAGCACACGAGTCCCAGAAATGCCAAGCGGCTGGCGGAGTACGCCAAGGCCATGCGGCAACTAGCGGCCATATGGGAAACGAACGACGGGAATATGGAGCTGCAGGCGCGTAGCCGAATCAAGTGGGCCATTGACTACATTACCAAATACTTTTTCACCGAGGGCATATACCTGCAGAAGCGACAGCGGGAGCAGCGACTCCTGGAGTCCTACAAGAGCGATGGCCAGTTGGGCGAGGTGAGATGCCAACTAATGGAGGAACCGCCGGACAGGTTGCGGGTGCTGGACGTGGGCAGCTGCTTTAATCCTTTTGCCACTGCCCCGCACCTGGAGGTTACGGCTCTGGACCTGTGTCCCGCCACCGAAGATGTGTTACAGGCCGATTTCTTGAAAGTTGAAGTGGTGACTGGCGTGGCGGAACCGGAACTAGATGAGGGCAGTGTCAGAAGGCTACCGGCGAACCATTACGAGTGCGTCATCTTCAGCCTGCTGCTGGAGTACATGCCCAGCGCCGAGCAGCGACTTCAGTGTTGTCGCAAGGCCTACGACCTGCTCCTGCCCGAAGGCATTCTCGTGCTCATCACACCCGACTCTCAGCATGTGGGGAAGAATGCCCACCTTATGAAGAACTGGCGCTATTCGCTGGCTAGGCTCGGCCTGTTGCGGGTGCGCTTCGAAAAGCTGCCGCACATCTCGTGCATGGTTTTCCGCAAGGCCATCAGCAGAGAGCTCTCACAGCACTGGGCTAGCATCCACCGGGAGGAGGGGATGTGCGAGGAAATCCGGATACCGCAGGACGACAGCTAGATAAGATACAAAATACGAGCTAGAGGCCTCATAAATCGATGTAAATATGTCCGCGTCTACTTATTTATGGCTTAACTTATCTGTGTTAAATGTGAGTTAATAATAATGGTTGACGATTTATCTACTATCTATAGATGTCGTAAATGTGCAAATGCTATTGCTTCTGTTCCGACTGTGGGAACAGGGTGCTGCTGGTCTGCCGCTTCTTCATCGCCGTGGTGGCGCCCTGCGATATCTTCATGATGTTCGGCGGCAGCGGCTTCTTTCGGTCCGCCTCCCACTCGGCGCGATGAAGCCGCTGGCGATGCTTGTACATGTTGGCGTTGGAAAAGAACGTCATGGGACAGTTGGGGCAGGTGTAGAGCACCTCACCAGTGTGAGTGGACGTGTGTTCCTGTAAATTTGAGACCATGAATCTCTTCTGTCTTGGCAATTGGCAGAGGTTGACTCACCCTTAGATCCTGCGGTCGCTTAAAGGCCTTCTCGCACATCCCACACTTGAACTTACGCTCACACTGGTGGTTGTGGTAGATGTGACGCTTGAGGGCTCTGGAGTTGGTGGACGTCTTGTTGCATATGGGACAGCGGTGCTCATTGCCCGGCGGCTCGTGCACCGTGTTCATATGCTGCTTCAGCCCAGAGAGGTGTCGCAGCCAGGTGCCGCAGATCTCGCATTGCACGGGATCGGGCTTCGGACGTGGCTCCTCGGAATGTTCCAGTTCGTGGTGCTTCTTGAGATTCGCTTGGGAACGCAACTTCTTGCCGCACTTATCGCAAATGATGGCCGTTTCTGGGTCGTGCATGTATCGCAGATGCTCCTTTAGCTTGCGTTCCGTGGGAATCCTGAAACATAAAGGGATTAGCTTGGCCTTTGGGGCAGGACATGTCTACCCACTTCTTGTTACACTCTGGACAGCTGTATTTGAACTCGGACTTGGGCACGTGCTTGGACACATAGTGATACTCTATGGCCGCCTTGGAGGTAAAAGTCTTAGAGCACTTTTCGCATGGGAATAACCGCTTCTCCTTCGGCTCTGTCTTCACCTTCGAGTTCGCGTGCGTCTGCTCGTGGACGTCCAGAGAGCGAGAGTCCTGGAAGACCCGGCCGCAGTGCGAGCACATAAAATGTTCCGGATTTTTGTGGACCAATACATGCTCCGCCAGACCCTTACGTATGTGGAACTTTCTCCCGCAGCACTGCATGTAACCATATTCGATGTTGTGGGAAACTCGTTGATGGCGTCGCATATCCGCAAAATTCTGCACGAGGAGGTTGCAGATGTGACAGGGGAACTTCTTGAAGAACTGCAAAATAATCTCATCGTACTCGTCCTGCACCTGTTTTCGTCGCTCGATCTCATCGCGACTCATGCGAACTGGTGGGATCAAAGGTTTCTCGCGTTTCCGGTACTTTTTCGGCTTCACAACGACGCGCTTGGGTATCTCGGCATACCGCTCCTCCGGCTCAAAGTCCGGCAGGCTGTTGTCCGAGTCGTCGTCACTGCTTTCGCTGGATGAACTGGAGCTGTCGTCAGTGCCCAAGACGGCTTCAGCGGCCACGAATTCCCTATCATTGCCAATTTCGTCGTGGTCATCTTCATCCGATTCAAGTTCTTTTTTGGGAGACGCCAGATCTTCTGGCTTGACCTTTGGTGGGCGACCACGTCTCGTACTCCTTCGCAGCGGCTGTCCCTTGCCCTGTTCGTTGTTCTTTGCAGATCCGTTGGCGCCGGACTTTATCTCTGCACCCACAAACTTTGCCAGAGGCACATCCGAATCACTGTCTAAAATTTTTTCGTTTTTAATGCGACGCTTGGGCTGGGATAGACCTTCGGCTTGGGAACCAAGGCGCTTGGTGGCGCCGGTTTTCCTTTCCGTATTAACTGGGTCCTCGAGGAGCTCCACCTTAGGCAGAGGTTCCAGCTCGTTGACCTCCACCTTCACTTCATTGGGGGCGAAGAAGCCCTCAGCCAGGGCATCCAGTTCAACGGCAAACAGCGGATTGATGGCCTCTTCCGTTTCCCCACAGAACTCAATAGCCACGCTTTTGGAGTCACCTCCGCCTGGCTGTTGGTGCAGCCTGGAGACACGCTGGTGGAGCTCATCGAAGCTGCTGACGCACTGCCAGCATTCTCGGCATACCGCGGCATCACCGCCAGCAGTGAGCACCTGCAGGAGGGAAATAGTCGAGTCAATAATATGGACAACTTCCGACTATGTCGCGCAGCTTACCTCGAAAAACGAAAAGTGTTTGTTGATGGTCCCCTTAATGTTTAGCCGGACCCCCTCGGCAGACAACAGCGGGTAGCCGCCATCAGAGCAAACCAAGCAGAGCACGCAAACGGGCATGCTGTAATCCGATTCCGTATCAGCGATAATCCACTAAAATAGCTTCATTTTCCACTCACAGGTTTTGTTTATGGTTTTTTGCAAAATTTGTTTTCGTCGATGCAAAACAGGGTTGTCAGATGGACGAAAAAAAAGATAAGCGATAGTTCCCGAAATAGGCGGTGGGAATCGCATAATATTTAGTTAAATTATCAGGTTATATCTTCCTGGTAATTATTTGGTAAATATTTAAACTAATAAATAAATATATAAGAAATATATATATTTTTTCAAATGTTTTTAGAGACTGGAAAGTATTAAAAGGTATTACTTTACGCCAAATATATATATATATATTTTATATAGATGAGACAATATTTAAAAACTATTAATTTACCCCATTTTAAATTTAAATTTTGTATGTCTTTATTAATTTAATTTGTAGTTTTGTAATTCCATCCTTTTTTTAATATTAATCATCAAAAATTTCATAATTAGTTTCAAATTTCTTAATTCTAAACATTGAAATAATTAAAAAAAAACCATATCTTTTTGTAAATATGTACTTATTTGTGTAAAAATAATGTATGTTTGGCGGAAAAGAGATGATATGGCTCTTTCAGTTTTATTCATAAAGTGGCCGAAAATGGTACTAATGTAACCCTTACTTAAAGTCAAATAAAATTTTTAATAAAATGTTATTCTCTTTTGATATAAAACTTTTCAGCAATAAAGGGGTTTGTTAGAAGAGAAAATGGCATTTAAAACTTAGCAAAATTTACATTCGTTCATCACTATCATTATCAGCTTGAAACGCTTACACAAAACGATCGATACTTGAGATAAAGCAGTCAAAAAAATGCCTAAAAATTCAATTCGAACAGAAAATTGTACACAGAAATAAACTAGTAATAATCGATTAAGCATATATGACTTTTTATCACAACAAAAATTAATTGAAATTTAAAGGCCATTTATTTTTGTTTGCGGTAGAGGGTTAACTTTTTAAATGGGGGTGACAGCCCTACTAAAAATTGCTAACGCCTTCGAAACGCGGGTCAAGCGCAGCGACCATGAAAAAATACCAAAACGAAGTGTGACACCAGCTGTTGCTCTTGACGAAATTAAAAGTTTATTGTTATTATTTTTATGTGCAAGCCCCAAAATGGGGAAAAACAAGTTAAAAAGGATTAAGGCCTTGAAAACCTTAAAAGCGGTGCAGAGGAATAGCAACTGGCACACAGGCGAATCTACGGCCCACGAGGCTTCGAAGATTCTGCTCAGCCTGGCCAGCAAGTATGTTCGGAAAGATCAACTTCCCGCCGTATCGATTTTGGTGAGTGTTTTGTTTATATTCCATAAACTAAGATATTTCGGAGACATTCCGGACTTAGCGTCGCTACAATGCGCAGTATCCGTTTTCCCGCGTGTGGTTGCAGAGGGGCTTGGGGGGCACCTCGGCGTAGTGCGCATACGCCAGGGCCCAAACCCCAACATTCCCAACGAAAAGTGAAAAGTGAAAAGTTCGAGAAACGCCAGACAACCGCCGAAAGTGAGCTGTGTTCGTTGGATCCAACGATTCCTAGAGGCCAAAACGACAGCGACTAGAACCCACCTAAGATGGAGAAGATCTGGAAGAAAGTGTGCGACCACCACGATGTGCCCGAACAGGTGGCCAAGGAGTGGTTTGCCCGTATCCAGGAGCACCTGAGCGCCGAGAGTCCATCGCGCGCCTACCACAACTGGCAGGAGATGATGCAGCGCAAGGAGCCCCATCTGGCACACTGCGCCAATCCCAATATCGTGCTGGCTGCCTTCTTCCAGTACTACCACTTCGATGGCAACCGCAGCTGTTCGGAGGAGAACATCGAGGTGTTCGAGGAGTTCTGTCATGATGCCGTCATCGAGGATGTGAGTAACGCTCGGCGATAATCCCCCTACCGCTTTCTGTACGGAGTATTTGTTTTAACAAACCGTTAAATAGGACCGCGCTAAGAGTCTGGTCTGCAATCTGCTAGGGCGAAAGACTCCGGAGAATCAGTTAACCTGGTGCCATGACGACGAGGCCAATTTGCTGCAGGATGTCGACCTAGTAGTGCTTGCGTGAGTATCATGGCATAACCCATCCCTCCGTCGTTTTCATATCCACGTATCGACTCAAGTTCCTCTCCGGAAGAGTACAAGCACTACACTACACTTTTGCGTTCGGAGTATGCCAATCTGGATGATGCCACATACAAGGCCATGCGCATCAAGGTGCTGGAGACCCTGTTGATGATTCCCTCCATCTATGCCACCGGCGAGTACCACGACAAGTACGAGGAACTGGCGCGCACCAACATTCGCAGTGAGATCCGCGAACTGAAGCAGCAGTAGGTACTACCAGGCTTACTCTGTCAGGAGTTGGAAGAATGGGCATGCGACGGGGCTGCTTTGTTTACTGCAATTGAGTTGTGTACTTACGGGCCGTTTTACCTCGTTTGGTTGCATGGCCTCCGCGATTACCAGGAAGCTGTCTTCTTCTCGGCCATGCACCTATTTATTTTAACTCTTAAGTTAGGTCAGAATCAAAATTGATTTCCTAGTTAGTGTGTACGCCTAGATATATATACGTAAGCCCTGTAGACACTATCCAACTCTCAATAAAAATGATGTAAATGAGTGTAACAAAAAATAACGATGTAGTTTTATTCAAAAGCACCATAAAGCACTATATAAAGCCCCAAAACTAGAGGAAACTCTAGCCCACAGTAAGTACACAAAGAAAAAGCGTTCCATTGCCTACTAACTAACCCATAATTCCCTTTATTTATCTTAAAAATATAGCCAGGATCACAAATAAATATAGATACGCCTAGTACCAGCTCCGTAATGTCAGCAGAAGCCACTGAACCATTAAAGAAGTTCAAGAAGTTCAAAGACAACCTTCCCAAGGTATTTTATTGCAATTTGAGTACCAATTAAATCCGACGTTCTTTGACCTTTTAGAACACACCGAAAAGATTGCAGCACAAGGCGAAACACAACATGAATTTCGATCGCAACAGATTTACAAAACTTATGAGCTCCATTAAAAAGAAGTACAATGTTAAGAAGAATCCTCAGGTTCAGCGAAAGTTTGAACTCCTTAGGAACTCACCCACGAAAAACCTTGCAGTGCCAAAACCTAAAATCTTCACTCCGCAGCAGGTGAAAAATTAATTTAATATAAAATATTATTAACTTCATATAAATTTTAAATTTAGAAAATTACAAGTGATATATGCAAAATTGAAGAGGGCGAAATCATCGAAACCAGTGACGACGATGACTGCGTGCTGCTGGAAACTACGAACGTCCCTATAAACCTCGATGAGGACGAAAGCGATACGGATACGGAACCATTTTCCAGTGATAAATTCTTTAAAGCTTGCCAACGCCGTGCCGAGAAACTTGCCACTCCGAAAATAATTAAAGATTCCCGGCGCGATTTAGCACTGCTTATGAAACCAAAGTCGGACCATGAATTGCTGTACTCCACTATAACAAAATCGGAGTCTTCGTCGGACAATGCCTGCATCGATTTGCTTGAAAGTCCCAAATCAATGCCGATGCCAATCGAAAACAATGACGATTCGGTGATTCTTTTGGAGGATTCTATTGGAGGAGAAGATTTCATTCCCTTGCATAATCCGTTGGCAAAGAACGCAACGAAACTCAAAACGCAAACCCCGAAAAAAGCGTCAAAGATATCGAATAAGAAAAGTGGACGTATGAGCCTCAGTCAGTTTTCCTCGGCAGATAAGAAAAAAGTGGGGGACTACAGTAGGAATACGTTCAATGCCACTGAGGAGACCGATGGACCAGGACAAGCAAGCGGCAAGCTAAAGTCAAATAAGCGCTCTATTATCATTGACGGCAGCAATGTGGCCTTTGCGTAAGTGTCTTCGATTTTCCAAAATATCTTTTAAATTAAATTAACGTAAACATTTCGCAGTCATGGCAATTCCAATTTGTTCTCCTCTGAGGGCATCAAGTACTGCCTGCAGTATTTTGACAAAATGGGACACAATGCCAAGGCTGTGATGCCATCGTTTCGGCGAAACGCCTTCAAATCTTCCAATCCCGAGCTTCTCGATCAGCTCCACAAGGAGGGAAAGGTAGTTTTTACGCCATGCAAGAACATTCCCGGCCAGAAATCGATTAGCTATGATGACCGGTAAGACACTTTCAAATAGTTATGTATTCTGAAATGTACTTACTATCATTTCCTGTCTCAGGTTTATTTTGCAGCTTGCTTACGAGTGGAATGCTGCGGTAGTATCAAACGACAACTACCGAGACCTGATTGACGAGAGTCCTGCCTTTAAGAAGATCGTGGAGACTCGAGTCCTTGGTTACACATGGTGCGACAACATATTTATTCTGCCAAAGGATCCCTACGGACGCTGGGGACCCACTTTGGATGAAATCCTGCGATGTTAGCTCACTTGGCGTTTAGTAAGATTGCGAAAAGCGCTTTGCAAAGAAGGAGCGTAAAGCACAAAGTAAAGCTCATAAGTTAATTTCCGGCATTTACCCGGGTTTCTATCATCACTTATTTACTGTATCACAACGTTGTATATATAACGATTTCTACATAAAAAAAATTTACTTAATATTCATACAAACTCAGGTTAAAATGTCGTAATGTTATATATCATGATAAATAAATAATGTATAGAACACTACTTTTTATTTTTTCATTTACATTTCTAAAGTCACCTAAAATGTATTTTTTAGGTTTCTTAAAGAATCAACTTCTGCTTTTTCAAAATAGTCTGAGAAAAATTACTCAAAATAAGATCAAAAATTCGGTGTCAGATTACATTATCTCCATTTAGTAGGTAAAATACTAAGTTGAATTTATTTTCAGAACACGCCGAATTCGAAGCACAGCAGGACAATGACTAAACCGCTTGGGATCAAGGGCAAAACCAAAGTATGTAGTACCAATGTATATTTGAAAACATTACTTACATTATTTACTCCTTAGAATTCCCGCAAAAGATTGGATAGGCCACAGAGAAATTTAAAACTGGAAATCGACGGGTTGATCAAACAGCTCAAGACTTTAAAGAAGTTCGGATGCCAGAAAAATCGCAGTTTGTATTTTGGTGATAACTCGTCCGTAAAGGTAATATTAATTTGGTGCTTGCAATTGTAATTTATTTAATTGTAATTTTACTTTGGAAACCCAGCATGTCGATGATGCAGAATTCTTTAAACAGATTCATCGCAGATGGCAGATGGCAGATGGTCCCGTGAGTGAAGGTCTTTTGGAGAATTGTCATCGCCTTGCCGAGAAATTTGAAACGCAGAAAATAAACAAACGTGCCGATAATGGGGTCCTGGTAGATAAAGTCGTGAGTGATGAAAATATTCTCAAGAATGGCCCTTGCTTCAGCAAAACGTTTTCAACGTTTAAAGTAAACAAGATTTCCCTACCAATACCGGAAGAAGACTATATGTGGATGAACTCCTCGTGCGGGTCTATAAACGTCGATGAGGACAAAATTGAGGAATTTGTTAAGGCTTGTCAGCTCAGTGCAAAGAAAATCGCCGTCTCGAATATATTCAAGGATCCCCGGAGCGATGGGCTTTCGGAAAACAAGTCAGAACCAATTCTGTCAAAGAAGAATATATGCATAGACTTGATTGGTGGCATCTACGATAATGTTTCAAAGCCACTGGGGGAATGCAAATCCAAGCCAACGGAGAAAACAACTGACAAAATCCAAATAGTTCCTCAGTTACTGGAAAAACAAGCAGTGAAAGTCCAGATAGTGCCCAAGCCACTGAAGAAAAACGCAGAGAAAATCGACATATTTCCAAAGGAAATTGAGAAAAAAACAAAGAAAATCAACATAGCTTATGGGACGGCGGATAAAACCCAAGAGAATCCCCAGAAAGTTTCTAAGCCAGCAGAAAAAATGAAGGACAAGCTTGACATAGTTCTTGAATCACTAGACAACCAATTAAGAAAACTACAGATAGTTCCCAGGGCCCGGAAGAGAAACCAAACGAAACTGAAAGTTTGGAAGCCACAGGAGAAAGAAACAGAAATACTCCAAGTAGATTCCAAAGCACTGAAAAATAAAACAGTGAAAGTCCAGATAGTGCCCAAGCCTCTGAAGAAAAACGCAGAGAAAATCGACAAATTTCCAAAGCAACTTGAGAAACAAACAAAGAAAATCAACATAGCTTATGGGTCGGCGGAGAAATCCCAGAAAGTTGCTCGGACCCCACAGGAGAAAAAAGCGGAAATACTCCAAGTAGGTTCCAAACCACTGGAAGATAAAGCAGTGAAAGTCCAAGTAGTTTCCAAGCCTCTGAAGAAAAACCCAGAGAAAATCGACATAGTTTCAATGCTACTTCAAAAAATCAACATATCTTATGAGACAGCGGAAAACACCCTAGAAAATCTCCAGAAAGTTCCCATCCCAGCAGAGAAAACAAGAGAAAACCTTGACATAATTTCTGAATTACTGAAGAACCAAACAACGAATCTCCAGATAGTTCCCAAGGCCCTGGAGAAAAAAAAACGGATCGTTTTAAAGACACTGGCGAAAAGCACAGCAATACTCGAAATATGTTCCAAACCACTGAAAAATCGAGCAGTGAAACCCCTAATAGTTCCAAAGGCACTGCAGAAAAACTCGCCGAAATTTAAAATATTTATAGACCCAGAAGAGAAAAATCTGAAGAAACTCGAGATTGTTTCACAACCCATGAAGAAAACACAAAGAAAACTCAAGAAACAATTGAATACAACTAAAATAGTTTCAAAGCAACAAGAGGAAGGAACGCTGGGGGTAACGGACCTTCAATACTCCCTTGCCGAAATGAAAATAATAGGAAAATACAACAGCAACATATTCAATCCCTCAGCTCAATCGGACGACCCTGAAGAGTCAAAGCAGAATAAACGAAATATTATAGTCGATGGCAGTAATGTGGCCTATGCGTAAGTTTTCTCGATCGCCTAAGGTTTTTATACACTTGTATTATTATTTTATATTAAAATATATTATTCTTATATATTTATATATATATATAAGCCCAGTTCTGATCGATTTCCAATTCAATTGCAACCTGAAGTTAGTTTCCTTTCTTATTTTAAATTAAAATAAACTCTTTTTACCCTTAAGCCATAAAAGAGGCACCTACTTCTCCTCGGAGGGCCTACAGTATTGCCTGCAATACTTTGAGACAATGGGACACGATGTGAAAGCAGTCGTGCCACTTTTCCGCCGCAACGCCTTCCAATCGAGCAATCCCCAGCTGCTTGATGGTCTGTACATGACGGGAAAGGTAGTTTTCACGCCATGCAAGAACATTCCCGGCCAGAAATCGATCAGCTATGATGACCGGTAAGACACTTTTAAATAATTATATATTCTTAAATGTACTTATTATTTCCTGTCCCAGGTTTATTTTGCAGCTCGCTTACGAGTGGAATGCTGCTGTAATATCAAACGACAATTACCGAGACCTGATTGACGAGAGTCCTGCTTTTCAGAAGATCGTGGAGACTCGAGTCCTTGGTTACACATGGTGCGAAGACATGTTTATTCTGCCAAAGGATCCGTACGGACGCTGGGGACCCACTCTTGATAACATTTTGTACAACTGAGTCTATTCTCATAATCAACGATTATAATATTTTATCATATTCCCATACAATCAACTAAACGAAATGTTCGTGTTGCTTCCGGAACATCAGGATGGTTCGGTTTATCTTTAATTAAATATTTTTAAGAAGGTTTTAGGTTGGTTCATAGGTCGTGAATCCGATGCTCTCGTTCGCAAAATTTATATACATAAGCAGGACTGTACACATTTTTCTTAATGGATAAATTAAATACATTTGTAATATTCCTCCAAATCGCAATGCTGAGTTACATCACCGGGGGCTGGCCGTTGACCATGAACGTGGTGGTGGTGGTGGTGGTCGTGGTTGTACTGGCAGCCATGTTCGCCTCGTAGACCGGCGGTGGCTCGTTGATGGCAACCGCCAGGTTCGGGTTGCTGGCCTCCAAGCTGGTGGCTATGGTCAGGGTGCTGCCCTGCTTTTGTTCGCTAAAAGCTGCCTCATCGTAGCTGGGCGGTAGATCCAAGGTTTTGGGCAGCACACTCAGCTCGTCTTGGGTATTCACACACACATTGGTGACTCCTCCAGAGGAGCCACCACCGTTGCAGTTGCTCGTCACATTGATCTCCATTTGGCGACGGGCTGTGAAAAAGTTTATTAAATTCTAAATTATAGAAATAATTAAAATAATTTTTGAAATTTGAATTGCTGTTTGCTCAAAACTTTACTCCAAATTTAAATTGGAGAATTGAATTTAATTGGAATTGATAGCTTAAGAAGAAAATAAGAAATGTTACGACTCCAAATTGCTCAAAAATGTAAGAAAACACGATTTTGATGACCATTCAAATTGGCTTTAAACATATAAAACCAATAATACCGAAAATGCAACATAAGCTTCCCACTTTCTTTAATATAAAATAAAATAAATAACAAGCGCGACTAATTTGAATTGAATATAACAATATCGATATCGATAACGCGATAAAAAGCAGTTGCGGTCAGCTGACTAAGTCCCTTGTGACGTCACACGAACAGCTGGAAGCAGAAGACTGAAGTGCGCTTGAATTTAATCACAGACTTTGTTTATTACCGCATCTACGCGCCATCGAAAACGCGGCGCCAACGTTAAGCGCACAGAATTGAGTAAGTGAAACTATTGGCAGGTACTGCAGGTGAGCAAACGCCTCACCTTCATTCAGTGTTTACATAATGAAGGCGCGGGCCCAAAGCGGACGAGGTGAAAGTTGAGCTGCATGTGGCGCTCATCGATGGGGAAATTTTGAATGGAGAAGTTTGGGAATGTGCAACAGGTTTAGCCGTTTCGATTTGGCGCAAACTGAAGATAATCTTAGTTGCCAAGGCAAAGTTCAAAGCTCAAAAGTTGGGGAAATTTTGCGTGGTAATCGAAGGTGAAAGGCTGAAAAAGTTAATTGCCATTGACACCTGTTGATTTTGCCCGCTTGAATGAGTGACTAATCAGTGGAACAATTATTGTTTTCCAGCCGGATGAGATGCTGCTGCGACGCCTCCTGGGCTATGGCGTCTTAGGCGCCGGAGTCGGCTCCGCTGGCTGGAGTCTGCACACAAATGACTATGATCCCAACTCCCTGGGCATTGTGAGGCTTTCGCGGTCCGCCGCTGCGGTCGTGGACGTGGCACTCACCTATAAGCGGGAACTCTACTACAGAGAATGGGACAAGACCACGCCGGAGTACAAAGCGGAAAAGAGTCGCGTCCACAAGATCGCAGCAGAGAAGCTACTAGAGCTAATTTGCACAAACAAGGGTGTTTACATCAAGGTGGGTCAGCACATTGGTGCCTTGGAGTACCTGCTGCCCAAGGAGTTTGTGCAGACGATGAAGATTCTGCATTCGGATGCGCCGCAGAACCCCATCGAGGACTTGTACAAGGTGATACGTCAGGATTTGCGCTGCAATCCCGAAGACATTTTCGAGAGCTTCGAGCGGGAGCCCCTGGGAACAGCCTCACTCGCTCAGGTGCACAAGGCGCGGCTCAAGAGCGGCGAGGTGGTGGCTGTCAAAGTCCAACATCCCTATGTCAAAGGAAACTCCCGGGTGGACATGAAGACCATGGAACTAGCTGTCAATGTACTGGCGCGGATATTTCCTGACTTCAAGATCCATTGGCTGGTGGAGGAATCTAAGAAGAACCTACCCATCGAGCTGGACTTCCTTAACGAGGGACGCAACGCCGAGAAAGTGGCCAAGCAGTTCGAGAAGTACAACTGGCTGCGGGTGCCCAAGATCTATTGGAAATTCAGCTCCTCACGTGTTCTAGTCATGGAATATCTAGAGGGTGGACATGTGACGGACCTGGACTACATTCGGGCCAACAAAATCGACACCTTTGCGGTGGCCAATCGCATTGGTCAGCTGTACTCCGAGATGATATTCCGTACCGGCTTCGTGCACAGCGATCCGCATCCGGGCAACATCCTGGTGCGACGCACGCCGAAGAACACTTTGGAAATCGTCCTACTGGATCACGGTCTCTATGCCAATCTAACGGACAAGTTTCGTTACGATTACTCCAATCTCTGGCTAAGTATTCTCAACGTGGATCGCAAGGCCATGCGGCTGCACAGCGAGCAGCTGGGTATTAAGGTATATATAAAAAAATTTCAACTTTCTTCAGTGAAACTTATTCGCCCCTTACTTTCAGGGTGACCTGTACGGCCTATTTGCGTGCATGGTGACGGGTCGACCATGGGAGACGGTGATGCAGGGCCTCACAAAAGTCAAATATTCCAAAGAAGAGGTGCGTAACATATTTTCCCTCTCGAGGAAAGCTGGTTTCACGTATAAACTTAATTTTTGCAGAAAAACACACTGCAGAACAACACTTCACTGGTGCTCCCACACATCTCGGACGTCCTCGAGCAGGTGGACCGCCAAATGCTGCTCATTCTTAAGACGAACGACTTAATTCGCGGCATCGAGTCAACGCTGCGAACCCAAAACCGGATGACGGCCTTCTGGGTCATGTCCAAGTGCTGTGTGCAATCCTCTTACGCCGAGCAGCGAGCCCAACAGGCCGCAACCGGCTCCTCGCGGATCCTGTGGCTGCGGTTGCGCGAGCGCTGGGAGCTGTTCAAGCTTAACTGTTACTACCTCTACCAGGGACTGATTAACTTCGGTTTCCTGGAGGCCCTCAAGCAGGTTATTTAGTCTAGATGTGGTCTGGTCCCTCAATTAAAAGTACAAAACTCTTGACGAGTCTTAGAAAAAGGGGAAATTACCTCGTTGTCTCTGCAGGGCAAGACTCCTAGCAGCTGCTTCCCGCTTGCGTTTGGCGCCCTTTGTGGTTGAGAACGAATGGTGAAATCATTAGCGAACCAAGGACATTTCCGGTTTCCGGTATGAGCTTACCAGAACAGCAGCCATCGGCAAGGCAACCATAAACATGAGGATCAGCAAAACATAGAGAACATAGCCTGAGTACCAGGACCAATAGTAGTCTCCCCCGTCATCTGGGACATATATGATGCTCGGATACGAGGTGGTGGTTGTGATATTCAATGATGCAGTGGTCGTTTTATTCAAAACCGCACTGACCGTTGTGTTTGCGGTGGCAGGTGCCATGTTAAGGGTCTTTTTTCGAGGGATTTTTCCGCTCTAAATTATGATTCAGATTTTCCGTCCAAAGAAAAAAAATCGGTGAAACTGGCTTGACTCTAGCGAACCGTCGTACCCAACTAACCTGAGCTACTGGCCACCGTATTGATGGGCCTCATCGGGGCGTGGGTCAGACACCAAAAAACACACATATTTGCTTTGTAATCATTAGCTGATAAGGTGACAAAACCAGAGCCAAGCCAGGGCTTTGCTTTTTTGTTAACGTTCGCATTCGCAATTTATCTAATGAGGCGGTGGCGATATGATAAATGTTCGCAAATAGATATATATCAGAGCACACACACATAAATACATATTAATGTCGTCCATGATTTATGGCGAACAAGAACGGTTCTCGGCCTCTTTTGCGTACCAAGAACGAGTTCAGTGGCCCAACTGGGGCAAATATTTATGTTTACTCTCATCGGGATGAGAGACCCTCCCACTCCCATCCTCACTCACCTGACTCGCCCGGCTCCTCCTTGAGGCGCTGCGACGTCGCGTAGGAGCGGCAGGTAATCAGCAGCACCTGGAAGGCAAGGTGAGATAGTTTGGAAAACGGAGTAGACTGGCTCTGGGAACACTCACTCGCAGCAGGAAGAGCAGGAAGCTGAGGACGCAGAGCACCAGGAGTACGGCCCCGAGATTATCCATTCCTTCGCTGGATGCGTTGTTTTGCCCAAAATTGGCTACCGTGATTCACTCTAAAGCCGCGGGCACATGTCAATCCGATAAGATACGAGGTCTGTGGCCCAAAACTTTGATTACATTTTAAGCTGGCCAATGTGCTGATGGCCTTTTCGTTGACGCCGTTGTCTCTACGGCCGTAACGAGATCCCTTGCAAATTTGTAATTTTTCGGTGGCGTCGCAATGCGAACTGGGCCAACTGGGAGTCACTTACCAAATGGCCAAATTACAGATTGTTCAGGCCCAGTTATCTCGCCGAGATTGCACTTTATATCTGCGCCGTCGCCGGGTAGTCAGGCTGTTATCTACGGATTCTGCCCGTCACTCAGTTGTTAGCTGCTAATTGAAGCTAATGGCCGTTGGCTTGTGTGGCTTGCACACACAATCCGGCCCACACACGACCCGTCAAAACGGCGACCCCTGACCCAGAAAGACATTGCCCCAGAGTTCATTTTCCAACACAAATATATATATGCTTATATATTTCCAATGTTTCTTTTTGATTTGAAATCAATCGAACGAATGAAAAGCATCACACGAAAATTCTTAAATACTTAAGCGCTACCAACACCGAACCTTTACATTGAGATAAATATTTTATTGAATTTGCAAATAGTTTTCGGTTCCATTTTGTTTTTCTTTGTTTATCAGATTACGGGCTAAATAATCCCCCTTTGGATTTTTATTTCCGTTTTTATTATTTGGTTTGCAATTCATATTCCAATATGAATACGAAATTGGCACAATTGTTTTTCATTGTTTCTGCATGTGTGGCATCATATTTACTGATAATAATCACTGAAAATGTTTCCTATTTTCCAGCCAGCAATTGAATTTCCGCCGTCTCGATTGGAAAATAACAATTCGCAATTAATTTATTTATTTCGTCACGCGCACCATTCGAGTTTGCATAATGTCCAGAGCGGGTGTGTTTGTTCAGAGGAGTGTAGATTGCATATTTGTATATAGGATATATGGCAGCGGGAAGCATGTCCTTCGATTTTATACTATTTGTATCGGAACTTAATTGAAATCAAATCAGAAAGATAAATGAAACGCAAATAGACCTTGGGCGAGTGCTGGGTGACAGCCGCTGTCCGAAGGTGTCACTTGCAATTAATGGACTTTGCCGGAATGTTAAACTTTAATTAGCCGCAGTGTCCGATTCCTGATTGGGTCTCCTCCTACTGTTCCCCTTCCTCTCCAGCTCTCGTTACCTGTGCAAATAGAAAAGAAGCCAGGAAAAAATAAAGGTAAATACAAGTTGAAAATATGCATATGTATGCTCAGTTTCGCATAAAAATCTCGCATAGCATTTATTTTAATTTTTATATCTTCCTGCTCCTCCTTTTGGGCTCATAAAAATTCATATATCCCGCCCTTCGCTTTTTGCGGCGGCTTTCGACTTAAATTATGCCTGCTCGGCGCCTTTAAGACATCCTTCGTCCTTTAGGAAAATGAAACTTTTGTCAACTTGGGTGAAAGATAAATTCACGTTGACATTTTAATTAATTTATCCCCGACTATGTCTCGTTAATAGTTCTGTGTTGGCTCCGAGTTTACAATGTAAACTCCAAATGCCAGTCGTACAGGACCTTAATCAAATAAATACATATGACTAGCAAGGACACTGCGCCCACACGCACAAGGTGGCGGCGGGAATTTTGAGATTGTAGCAGAAACACACGACACAAATCAATTTGCATAAGGATAGAAGTTTCCAACTTTCCCCAGGATCGAGAGAAAACTTTGCTTTGCCACATACGCTGTAATTAAAGTGAGGAAGGTGGGTATGCTCGTCCTGCCTCAGTCTGCTAGATGTTATTTTAAAATGTAAAGCAAGTAATAATACTTATTTTCCTCATTTTCGGTTACCTTTTTATATTAGTTAAATCTTAGAAGGACTTTTACATTTTATGGGGATTTTAAAGGACAAGTTTCCTATTTAGACTATACTTGTTAAAAAATTCAACTAAAGAGGTCCTTTGTGTGTCTTTGACTTTGTTCCGTTTTAAAGCCTCTTTAGTTATCTTTATATTTATATTTCTATCTATCCTTGTACATTAGCATCATAAGTAATTAAATAAATCTGGTATCCTACCTGACCATACCCTAACTATTTTAATACAACATTCTTGAGATATAAATCTTCCCTTAATGCCTATTATCTCAGTTCATATTCATTTACCTTGGTTGTCAGCAACAGGCTGCCTGAGATATCATTCCACCTGTGAGGCTGTCAAGTGAAATATCTGGATTCATGGAATCTAAAGATATAACCCAAACCACATTTGTTTTTTTTTTTAAATTCTAATTTAAGGTATCTGGGAGTCGTATCTGAAGCCATTTCAGCCTCACATCCATGCGTGTGTGTATTAAATTTGAAATTCAAATTTATTAAACTGCAGTAGAAGAGCGGCCCGTGTCTGATTTTCATCGGAAAAGTGAGGAAAACGAGAAGCAGGAGAGGGAGCTGGGACTGGGACAGGAGCGTAGCTCATTCAAATTTGTGGCATTTGGTTGATGCTTTAACAATTAGATAGCATACATTTTGGGGTATGCTCGCACACACTCACTCTGAAAACTGAACTTTTTTTGCCATGCAAAACGAGGCGAGAAGGCGACTTTTATGTGGTGTAGGCCATTTTTGAGGGCGGCTCTCTTCGTCGTCGTCGAGTGGGGAAAGTTGCTCAGCTGGAATCAAGTTGTTAGCACAATTAGTTAGGGAGGCGTGCCAGTGGGACCCCTTAGGAAGGGGGCGTGGCCGTTTGCGGCTTTCATTATCGAAACGTGCCTCCGTTTGTCCATGAATGTTGAGCGAAATTAATTGCCGGCGGGCGGAAAAGTGAGAGAGAGACCCATTCGAACCCCAAGCCCAGAGTCGGTCCCAGCGATTGCACAAAAGTTTTGTTTGAATAATTTCATTAAGATTAATTTTCGGCAACAAAGGATCTGGAAAATTATAATTTATAATTAGCAAGCAGAGCAAATGCGGTTCTGTTTGCTCACGGAGATTTTATTGAAAATTTTAATTATGATTTTGGCGGCGCTGGTTCGTTTGTTTTCTCTTTTTTTTATATATATATTTTTTGGCAAAAAGTTTTGTGTGTACATGGGCCATAAATGAGGTTTTCCTGCCGCCAAAAAACAAATTAAACTGAAGTCGAACTCAAAGCGAGGTCAGCGAATGAGAGCGAGTGAAAAACGTTGGACAATAAAGTTTAATGAATTACATTTTACGCGGCAAAGGACGAAGGACGAGCGGAAGGAGTGCCAATGCCAGCTGCTGGTAATCCTTGGACAAACAGCCAGCGAAGCCAGCTCCGCAAAAAGTCGAAAGGAAATGAAAATATGTCGACGGAAATGAGCATTGACGCCGTCCGATTGCCCAGACACAGAGAGAGAGCGAGTCCTTCTGGTCACTTTCCTTGTAGCCCTGATTTCCCGACTGGGCGGGTCTTCCTCCGGATCCCTTCGCCATACTCCATCTGTCGACCAAGTTGCCATTTCATCATTGTCAACGGCCGCAGAACATCGAACAAACAATAAATATTGTAAACAATTTGTTTGGCCAGGCTGGGGAAATAGAAAGCCATGGCAAATATTTGCCCACGCCCGGGGTGGGCCAGCCCGAAAACGGAAATCGTTTCCTCCAAGGAGCTTCCCACATACATATATAGAGGCACAGTCAGAGGAACGAAGCGGAGCGGGACCTGGTAAGCCCTTCGGGGCAATAAATTATCATCATCAGCAAATGGCAATGTGGTTCATCCTGCACCCCGGGCCTCCTCCGCGGCAGCCGTTCACAATTTCCAATTGCCATCCGGCCGTTTGCGATCCCCAATCCCAGTTCCAGTCACCAAGGGGGACTCCCGTCCGGGGAGACCAAAAGGGGGACTTGGCCACGTAAGGTAATGCCGCATTAATTAAATCAAGCATCATTAAGCGGGGGCGTGGCTGTGGGCGTGGTGTGGTTGGGGCCCCTAATGGCAATTGCATTCGAATTCGGATTTGGATCTAGATCCGCAATTGCACCGTGGTTGGGAGCACTTAAGCAGCGAAAACTGTCAATAGCAGACCGCAATGAACTTGAAAGTTTTGGTATTGATGGAGGGTCCATTAATTTAGCCGGTTACTTAGAGCACTGCACAGAAAAAAAAACATTTGTAATAATAAATAATTTCTATATTAACAAACAGGTTTTAAAGTAATTTTTATGAATATTTATACTTTTCCTTTTGAGTATTATAAATTTAATCTGAGGCTTAAAATCCTGTGAAGTAGTTATTTCCGATCCTATAAATGATCCTATTAATGATCAGCATTAACAGCCGAATCGATCTAGCTATAACCGGACAAAATTTATTTTTTCAAAAATTTGAACATTTTTAAGGGGTTACATCGTTAAAATTTTTTTAAATTTTAAAATGCAGTCTGCAGATTTGTTAAGCCTATAAATACTAGCACAGAACAGCTTTCCGAAATGAAATAAATGTACATATGTAAATATAGTTATGGATTTTTTAAACTTGGTTTTTTTGGAAAAAAGTCATATAAAAATATAAAAAAATATGTCTTTTAATTTCTTTAATTTTTCCCTGTGCAGCCACTGAGCCATGTTGTGGGTAACTTTTTCTAGTTTCTATTTTTTTTTTTGTCACAAAATTGAGACCACTGTCCAACTGGTAAATTGAAAATAAAAACCCTCGCAAAACACACAAAATGTTTCCACTTCTGTGGCCGTTGCGTAAAATTTAATTTGCTAAAGCTCGGTTTTATGGCTGGCGCTTCTGTCCAACTGTGGGTCAGGAGGAGTGTGTGCACCCAATTGGCCATGTCGGAGAATCTAAGGTAAAATGATTTTTCAATAAAGCACACACCATACTTGACGTGGGCAGAAATTGCATAAGTAGCTGTCGGGCGGAAAGGAACGGGTTTGGATGGTTGGGCTTTGGGAGACCATGTTTTTTTTTGATTTTTTGGGAGAAGCACACACAAGCTCCCTACAATTTAGTGCATTGTCTTTTGGCCAAGCGGAATCCGCTGGGCGCCTGGCAAATGGCCAACAGCTGGCTGGCGGTGCTTGGGTGCTGCTCCTTCATCTGGGAGAAGGTTAAACAAGAGTAAATGCAGTTGGCTAACACCCACATGGTTCGAGCACAAAACACACACTTACTAAGAGGAAGCACCACGCAGGTTCTAACGCACAGAAAGAAATAGTGGGGGAAATTAATTAAATATTATTTAAAGACTGGTTTTAAATACTTTTTTTTAGATATTTGGATTAAAAATTCATTTAAAAAAGACTCTCAATTATAAATTACTAAATTTAATATAGAAATATATTAGAAAAACTAAAATTAATAATGTAATGATGGATAATAGCTTCTAAAATTCGGTTCCCATTTTTTTTCTCTGCATCATTGTAGACATTAAGCCTTGGGGGCTTAGGCGGTAGGCTTTGGATGCCAGCAGTGGAAGCAGTAGAGCATGGCCATTGTAGCAGGAAAAAGGAGCACCGAGTGGGTTCGGATGGAGAATGGAGGATGGAGGATTGCCGAGGCCGAGGAGCATCCTATTTATTGCCAACGCTTGTAGCAGTCATTACTCACACGGCTAGCAGGATCTTTAAATTTCATTTGGCAAATGTAATTCGATTTAAGTTCTTCGCTCTCTCCATTCGCCATTTGCCACTTTTGCCGTTTGCCATTTTGATGGCACTGAATTTTTCATAGTTTTCGCCTCTTTTGGCTTTTGGGATCTCTGTGCCGCCGTGGCGTGCATTTCAATTGAATAATCCAGCAAACAAAATAAAAAATCTGGCTAACAAAAAACCACAGCTCTCTGGAAAAAGTTTAATTCTACAAAAAAAGTGATGGGGGAAAAACAAACGGAAATGCATGTTTTGCATATTGCTTTGAGCCCTCACCAAATATGGAAAATATCCTCAATCTCCCTCTTTGTGTGTGTGTGTGTTTGTGTAGGGGAAAATCAAATTTGCCAGCGTTGAGCTTCTGTTTCCTCCGCCTTTTTCCGCCCTCGAAATTTCATTTGTTGCCAACAATCGTCCATGCAAACAACGAAACTTGACTAAATGCAATAAACTGACCAAGTGCCGGGCCATTTGGCCACTGTTGCGGTTCCAAAACCACCGACAATCCCTCTCCAGGCTCCACTGGCTAAGCTTTTTGCCAAGTCAGCGGAATTTCTATACCTGGTACTTGAAGGGTATACTAAAAACAGAACTATAAGCAATATTCAGAGTTTAAAGTAAAGATTTAATCTATATGAGTGAGCTTTGTCGCCTTCTGAAGAGAGAGATCTTTCTAAGATCTCAGGATCTTTAAGTAATAGAGGTATGCATTTTAGGATGTAGATTTACCTTAAAAATATATAGTTTTAATAAAATAAGTTTCTTGTTATGTTCTGAACTCGAAATCCTTGCATTTCCTTACTTTCTTTCCACTTGGTATCCTAGTTAAGTTCATTAGACAATTCTTTTTAACTAAATTTCTGTCTCATAACAAAATTGAAATAAAAACTAGTTTCCCACTTGGTAACTTATAGTCCACTGCAGCTTTCTATCTTTTCGCTTTTTAGTTCTTTCTGGCTCTGCCTTTTTCGCATAGAATAAAATGCAATTTGCTCATTTTTGCATAAACCCCAATTTGAGTTTTTCCTTCTCTCGAATGAGAAACTGTTATTGCATTCGAGTCCGCACTGGATTTCGGACAGGAACTATATGGTTGAAGGGGGTTGGATCTCTCCGGAGCGCTTTGACCGGCGACAGGTGAAATCCCCCTGCCAAAGGATACGCTTGTCATGCAACACCCTCAGCTAAATTCCCGAAATTCCCCAAAACGGACAACACATGCAAAACCCCAAACACCTACCTGGATTTACGTGTACGAACGCTCAGCTCCGGCGGCGGCTGCGGCATCTAGCAGACTCAATTCATTGAATGTTTCACAGTTTTGCAGAACTTGGCTGCAAGTGGCGTTAATTAAATCAAAATCGATGGCCAACCGATGTCCGACAGATTCCGTTTGCGTGTGTGACGTGTCCGTGTCCGGGGAAGCCCCATTGTGGCGCAAATGGGAAACGGGGCAGCAAGCCTCCAGCTCCCTATCCCGGCCAGCGAGCACCGCTTGTAGCTCCTCGGCGGTGCAGTCGAACTCAAACTCATACTCGTCGTCCATCAGCGATTGCTCCGAGTAGCTCTCATCGTCGTCATCGCAGTCAAAGTAACCACTCTGTGGATGAGCCAGAAAATTGATGATTGTGTGAGCTCCAGGATTGAGCAGCACTTGATTGGCTACAGGATATCTCCTGTAGGGATACCAAACCGAACTGAAACCAAGGGAAATCCCTTCAAAGAAGATGGAAAACCTCACAGAAAGTGGGTTTTGTGTTTACTTTGACTTGCTTTTTGCATGATTTTCATTTAATTTAAAATCTTTTAATTCATGTTTCAGGGTTTTGAATGCAAGAAGTCTGTTAAGTAATTGCTTTAGTATTATTTTTATTTATTATGGGAAATCTTAGTGAGAATCCCAAAGCTAACATTATTATTTGCTTCTCCCCAGGTTTCCATCTTAATTATCTTTAATTTGATTTTGATTCACACTCACCTGGCAGTCCAGGCATCGGCAATTATCACAGAGGCTGCAACTCAGGCCCAATATGTCGGCTGCCTCCTGGTAGAGCTCGAAACTGGATTTCCCCGGCTGCTGGTCCTGGCTGGTGGTCAGTGCTGTCGGTGCTGTGCTGGTGCTGTTGTCCTCATTATGCATGCTCCAGTTGCTCAATTTATTCAGCTGCCGCTGCTCGCTGCCACTTCCACTTCCACTGCCACTGCCACTGCCATATCCACTTCCGCCTCGATTCGCAGCCTCCCGACTGTTGCTCTGATTTTTCAAGTTGCCGCCATTGTTGTTGGGTGGCTCCGCCTCATTGCTGTCGAGCATGTTAAATGAAAGTTTATTTAGCTTTTGGTTGACTAAACTAAACGCGTATCAAATGGCTGCAAGTGGTGCGTAAGGATGTCGACGATTACGCAGGACGCAGGCAGAAGGACGATGCAAATTGATATAAAGTGTGTTCAGGAGGCGGTAACCCAGGGCAACCCTGACACGAAAATGTCTAGTCATGTGTATAGTACATGGAAATTAACGCTCTAATTACTCCAGAGACCTATCACGGCCCAAATGGGTCCTAAAAGCACGTCATCTATTTTTTTGTCACCCAATATTATGCTTCCCATTGCACAGCTACAAGTTTTTATAGACTTTTTATGCCGAGTTCTATGATTTTTTTTTTTTTTTGAATTAATTATATATGTAAATGGCATTTTATTAGGCATGATTTTTACTTGTAAAGGGAATGGCGTTAACTTAAATGTAAGGTCCTGTAAAATGTGATATTTCCATAAAAATGCAAAACGAACAATTTAACATAATATGAATAGAATAATAATCTACAGCAAAAGCAACATTCAAAGGCATAAAAATCTCAATCAAAATTCACACTTTTAAATATGTAAATTAAATAATTAAATAAGCAGTTAACTATGAGCAGTAATTAACTATGATCAGTAAGTACCTATGTATGACGAGTAAGTAACTATGATAAGTAAGTATCAATTAACAATAAGTAACTATGACAGGTAAGTATAAATGGCCAGTAAGTATATATGATCAGTTACTAACTTTGAACAATAATAAACAATGACTAGCAACTTTTGTAACAACACATTTCTGAGACATGGCCGGGAGAAGTCACTTCGTTCCGGGGATGTTAGAACCACTTGGGAATCATATGCACACATATGATCAGTGAATAACAATGACCAGCAATTAACTATGAGCTGTAATTGACTATGAGCAGTAAGTAACTCTGAACAATAATTATCTATGACGAGTATGTAACTCTGAACAGTAAGTATCTATGACCAGTAAGTAGCTATGACTAGTAAGTAACTATGGCTAGTAAGTATCCATGACCAGTAAGTAAGTAGGATCAGTAACTAACTTTGAACACTAATAAACAATGACTTGCAACTTTTGTAACACAACACATTTCTGAGACATGGCCGGGAGAAGTCACTTCGTTCCAGGGATGTTAGAACCACTTGGGAATCATATGCACAGATGCGAGATGTGTTTTTGGATCAGTGAGTAACTATGATCAGTGAATAACAATGACCAGCAATTAACTATGAGCTGTAATTAACTATGAGCAGTAAGTAACTATGAACAATAATTATCTATGACGAGTATGTAACTCTGAACAGTAAGTATCTATGACCAGTAAGTAGCTATGACTAGTAAGTAACTATGGCTAGTAAGTATCCATGACCAGTAAGTAAGTAGGATCAGTAACTAACTTTGAACACTAATAAACAATGACTTGCAACTTTTGTAACACAACACATTTCTGAGACATGGCCGGGAGAAGTCACTTCGTTCCGGGGATGTTAGAACCACTTGGGAATCATATGCACACATGTGCGAGATTTGTTTTGGAACAAAGAGCAAGCCATTTGTATGAAACTATGGACTTATTCTTATATATAATTTTACTGGTATATAAGTCGGAGCATTGCGAATCGGTGGACTATATATACATATATATATATATATATATATATATATATATATATATATATATATATAAATATCTGCCATAGGAATGATAGGAAAACTTTAAGAAAAAAAATCTTTTCCAGTTTCTAACAGTTTTTTACCAATTTTGATACATAACCATTATATATTAATGTAGAATTTTGTAAAAATTGTATAAAAATTCGACTATTATATCATATAGCTGCCATATAAACGATCGTTAAAAATAGAGGGAAATGCAAAATGGTGAATATAAGACTGTAAATATAAAATGTACCCTCAAAGAAAGGAAAATGTATCTAGGTCGTATACGTAATATTCTTTGTCAATGACAGTAAACTTTTCACGACATATTTAAGTATCATTCATTACTTACTACCATGAAATATACCTAATACATATATTTTTATTGAAACTTGCCACAAGTCAAAGCGATAACAATGGGCTTAGCGATCGATGAAACCGATAAATCATCCGCGGAAACTTTTCGCAATCAACGAGCTTGCAGAGAAAATGCAAAATTAAAACAAAAAAAAGAGCAATTTAATTTTGCGGCTGCAATCAGGCATTGTGGCTGGCAGCATTTCCAGCTAGTGGCCACGATAAATTAAGCCACCTTGGTGGCCTTAAATGCGAACTGTGTGACATTCCTGACGTCGCTGGTGGCCCAACGAGGACCATTTAAATCGCATCAGCGAAGGCCAGACGGCACGGCGCCATTAAAAGGGCTAACAACGAAAAATAAAAGTGGGAAAATATGCAAAGAAGTGCAAAAAAAGTGAGAAAACTGCAAGAGTGAGTAACTTTGCACAACAAATTTCCGTAGTTATTCTGCAACACAAGTTTACGAAGTCATTCTTGTCAGTTACGCTGGTGTCGCCATCCAGAAAGTTGATGAATGTGCGCCAAAGAATTTCCACGGTGCCGCCGGAAAATGAAAATGCCTAAGAAAGTGCTGAAGGGAGGAAGCAGCATTACGGGGGCCCTTTTGCATTTTTACCCCGACTGACGTTTACTAATTAAATGCGCACCGGGTACTAATAAATCAAAGCAAAAACGTCCTCCCCTTTGCAGGCTCTGCTCTTTTTTTCTCCTCGGATGCAATTAATGAAATTTTCCCAGCCGCCTTTGATGGTGAAAATTTTCAGTAAGCGAACTTTTGACATCATTATATTGCAGAAGGGGCCCCACGAAAGGACTGAGGGATAACGTTGCGTATGAGTAATGTCTGGTGTGCTGTAAGTTGCAACTTTTGCATTAAGTCCCCTCTCAGAGTCCGCGAAATATGATTATTGCACTTCAATATGTACATTTATGGCCATCATGCATTTTAATCAACTTTCCGCTAAGCCCCCTTTAAGCTCCACTGAATGCCTGACTGCCTGCCTGGACACTTTGTGTTTATGTCGAGCGCATTAATTTTTCAATTTCGCAAATGACTGGAAAGAGCGGAAAATGTGGAAAAGCAAAAAAGGGGGACAGGGTGAACTTTGCTAAGCGCTGATGATGATCAAAACTTATGACTTCATGAACAATGCAGCAAAGTTTCGCAGTTGCAACAAAGTGTCCGCCCGTCAGATAATTGAATGCGCTTAAAAGCCGCAACAAAAACGAACTGAAAATACCATTTTCCACGGCGCAAGATGGCCATAAAGAAGCCATAAAATGAGGAGGACTTTTTTGTTTGAAAAATTATTCGTGAGAGGGCAGATCGATAAGCGAACTGATAAGTTGCCATGATTTACTCGGCAAAAAGCGGTAACTAACTAAGATTGCTGCTGCACTTCAATAATTAATTAAGCAATAATCGAAAGGAATTTTTCCAGGTCCTTCGTCAACTTAATGAGAAACCACTTTGGGGAGGGAACTATATAGGACACACCACGGTTGTTCTGCTCCATCGTGCGTCCTGTCGTGTGCCCCAAAGATTGCCATCATAAAAAGTTGCCACAGTTTGCAGCGCGCTGCAAGATGCCTTATAACATTTATGGGAATTTATAAGTTTTTGCGGCGGCAAGAAGATTGCTCCGCTGACACAAGACCATACATACTCCAGCAGAAATTACACTGAAATTTTTAAGGGATATGATTTGAAAGTAACTTATCAAAGTAACTTCATCAAAAAGTTGAAAGTATTCCTGCCTCACCGATTTTCCTCATTAATTTTCCTGACCCAATAACAAGGCTCTTAAAAAGATTGCCAAGAATCCCCTCTCAAACTTTAGGGTTATTTATAGTTTATAAAATCTCTATGGTAACTAATTTCTCTAAGTGTCTTGATGCTACATACCTGATGGCGCCCGCATCTTCAGCTGCTGCTGCTGCTGAGGCTGCCTCTGCGTTGCTGCGCCATTTTTCTTCTTCGAGATATTTCAGAAACTTTGTCTTCTTGGCAATAAGCGCTGATTTGACATTGGTGCATTTCTTCTTCGGCAGCAGTGGGAGGCCACCGGCGGCGCCAGCTCCTACTCCTGCTCCTGCTCCCGCTGGGCCATCCAGGGACTCGCCGCCACTCCGGCTACGATTCCGGCCGTTTTGGGTTACTCCGGCTGCCGCTGACAGGCAGCTATTGTTGTGGCTGCCAGCAGGGGCATTGTTATTGCTGCTGCTGCTGATGCTGTGGTGGCTGGTGATGTGGCTGTGGTCCTGGATTTGGCCCAGGGCTTGGCCATGAGTTTGGGTGACAGTGTGGCAGGCGCTGCCAACGCTGCAATTGAACAATTTTTGCAGGGCCGCTGTTGCCGGTGAACACATTGCGGTTGACATTGATGTAGCGACAGGATTTACGTAGTTTGATGCGTTTCCCGCTGCCACATCCACTCCTCCTTCCGTTGTTGTTGCTGCCGCTGTTGCTGCTGTTGTGGCAGTGCCAAAAGTTTTGAATTTATGCTGCAGGACGACTCCCCCACTGGAGCAAGTTGCCTCAATTGGATTTGCCGCTCTGCCCTGGCTGCCATTTATTTCACGCTTTGTTGCCGCATATGTGCCATAGTCCTGCCAAGATTCCAGATAGTTGAAGTTTCAAGTTGAAGTTGAAGTGGGCCAGAAGAGGAGAGCGAAAAAGAACCAAACAAGCTGAGATAGTTGGGCCGGTCTCGAGTGGAACACTCAAAGGACTCACCCCATATGCACCATAGCTGGCATTAAGGACATAAATCGAATTTTGATTGTTGCACTGGAATACCATGTCGTCCATTGTTTGGGCTGTTTAGAAATAAGATATTATTATAGGAAGGAAATAAACAAATTAAGAATTAATTAAGATATAATAGAATTAATGGAGGTGAAAGTTTAACCAAAATAATGCTAACAAAGAAAGTCAAAACAGAAGCAAATTCATTCCTCCTATTCTCTACCGATCTTTAAATAAGTACAATCATTCAATTGAATGTTTAAATCATATACTTTAATTTTATAGTAAAACCTTAAATCGATGGATTTCTAAAATAGTTCTTTTCGCAGTGTGAGTAGACTTGGGTTTCTGGCTTTTCGGGCCGAGTTGAAAAATGTTGCTTAACAAAATTATGCAAATTTAACATCGAAATCAAACAGCAGACGGCGTCTCTGTTTCAACTTTTCGCCTTCGGAAGGGGCAAATCCAAGGGAGAGGAGAACCCAAGGGGCGGATACCAAACAAAAAAAGGCGAAAATTTAATTTAAATTCTTATTGCTGCCTGCTGATTGTGATTGTTTCGGTTTCTCGTGCTGTTTCTGGTTCTGGGGAATGGCAAAGAATGAATTGGGGTCTGTTGCTTACCCATTGAACTTTCAATGAATTTGGTTTCGTCACAGCTCTGACGCAGCTGGCGTTGCTGTCGCTGGGACCAGGTCAGGGATGCGGCTGGGATCCTGTCCAGCTCCTGTTGCTCCCGGTGCTGCTGCTCCCGTTGCCTTTGGTGGCAATCAAAGCTGCAATTACCACCGCCGCACACGTCCAATTGAAGCGGAAATTTATGCGGCTGCTGGAGCGTGTAAACGTTGACTGAGCGCTTCTCCTGGCCAGCGATTCCGGTTCCAATTCCGTGTCCTACTCCTCCGCCGCCTGCAAGGCTGTTCGAACGCTTGGTCCTCCCGCTACCAGAGCTGAGCCAGCTCGTTAGCCACAGGGATTGGATGTCTTCAATGGCCAAAGAAAAGGAGAAACGCACAAACATAAGCAAATTTCGTAGCAGATTTGCTTCGGGTTTTATTGTTGTTTTTTTTGGCTGTGGGACGGGGGAAATGACGGGAAATGTTGCTGGGAAATGGTTAACTCGGCCTGGCCGAGCATGATAAAATTTCGTTTGAAAGGCAAGTTCATTGAAATGAACAGCTTTCCACCTCCATTTCCACCCATTCCACTTTCACTGGCAAACACGCAAAATAATCAAAATAATCCTTTTTTTGTTAGCTCCCCCGACTATGGCTACGGCTTCGGGCTTAGTCCTGTCCGTCCGCCAGACCCTTCTGTTGTTGGCTTAGAGAGATTGTTCGGCTCGGTCCGGCAACAATTCCTACAATTACGCATCGCAGACGCAATATAATCGCCGTTGCCAGGACAATTGACACAAGTGGCAGTGAGTCATGTGAATCGTAAAGTCCTAAGCCCCGGAAGATGAGTGCGAACAAAGGCTGCAGGGGAAATATGATTTCCGTGCAATTTAGAGCTGATCTATTGTTGAATAAACTGACCCGGAAGACCTGAATAACTGCACAGAAATAACCATTGTTCATTGTGCTTCAATTAAGTTTGTCTTTATTTATCATTCCTCTATTAGTTTAAGCATAAAATGCAATGATTTTATAACCACAAATAAGACAAAGGTTTATCTTTCAATCAATTTGGATTTAAATACTCGAAAACCAGACACAATTAACCTGCATTTTAGTGTCATCATTCAGGATTAAATAATTATTAATTCGGATCAACGTACATATTGAAAAATCAAACCACACAGGGGAAAATGTGTTCAACATGAAGCATATTTAAGGCCAAATATTTCTCTTACCAAAGAAATCAATTTTAAATTGTGCCTGAAAGCAGGCAGGCAGTGGTTAATATCAAATTTAATATTTTGTGGTTAGACCGAAAGTAAAATATGTGCATCTTTAATAAAGACAGACTTTTAACGATTATTAAATATGAAAACTAAGACGATTGACTTATCTATATCTTTATTATATTCTTGTAAACAAAAGTCAGAGTTATCTTGAAATAAAAAGAGTCAAATCCAAATCAATGACCAATTCCGCTTGCTTATATTCCCTGTGAGCACATGAACTTGAATCTCTGGAGCGTTTAACATTTGTATCCCAGTGTCGCACTCTCGTAAATCCCGACAGCCACAACTTGGTGACCCCATTCATCAAAGTGTCGGAGCAGCTGGCGAGCAGGAATCTTTTGTCATTTGCTGTCAAATCGCCGGGACAGGAGGATATGGGATAAACTAAGCATAGTGGAGACAGAGGCGGAGCTCCTCCTCGGTGACTGAGGAAAAAACTAATACGTGATGGAAGTCAACAGAGCAACATGTAAAACATCGGGCAGGGACGATAATGGTGGGTGGTGTTGGAGCGGTGGTGGAAGGGTTCAGTCGAGCATCCCTAATGAGCGGCAATAAAGCAAATGTGGCAGGTGACACTGGCACACACACACACACACACGCGTATCAAGCAATTTGCACATTATAATTGTTGACACACCCCCCGCATGCGTGGCATTATATATATAAATATATATATATAGGTAGGTATATATATACACATGCTTGCGTGTCATTAGTGGGCCTTTGAATAGCACCAGAAATTCCGCTTTTATTTTGTTCTATTTGCAGGGGGAAACCTCCCAGCTCCTGTGAGCTAATAATAAAACTTTTATTTATTTTGGGATTTTCGTCAACTGACCGAAGGCAAACAAAATGCTGGCAAACAAACAGGACCACAGAAATAATAATAATAAGCCGGCATGGAAACAAGCAGCTGGAGGTGGTGGTGGAGGAGGTTCTGTCCTGGGGGAGTATGTCCTGCAGGCTGGGTGGCAGCTACATGCCAGTCCAGTGAAGCGTGGCATATTTGTCATAATCAGCGTTTAGGCATAAGCATAAATTTGAATGAGTGCGCACACTGGGGCTGGGGGTCAAGGCCCATATTGTATAGACATCCTTATCATATATTAGGCAGGGACACTCTATACCCATTCCATTACACCCAATAGAGATGAGTAGGAGAGGATTCACTGTGACCGAGACTGACTTTAAAACGAAAAATACCTCTGGTTTAATTAGAGAATTTAAGATCCGTATTTATCATAAAAATCACTGCTTACTTTAAGACATCATTTAAATAACATTACAAAATATATACATCGTACTTAGAGGCACCTTTTTGATGTAAAACCGCTAGAGATTTCTGTGGCACCTCGTAAATTCCGCTTCATTAACTTTATGGACCACTGTAAAGTCCAGCTTTTAAAATCCTGAATTGGGCCTGGACTGGAGAGCCTTTAATCCTCTCAATGAACAAGGGATTCGCAGGACTCCTCCGGAAGGGTAGTACCATGTAGTATGCGAGAACAAAGCAGAGCTCATCTATGCGATGACATGACCTGACCCGCACCCCGGGAGCTGGAACTTGCGATTGACAGGACAGGAGAGTCGGCGGGGCTAGGCAAATATTTGACTGGAAAATTCCGGGGACCGCAGGAGGTCGCGGATCACGAAATTGGGTATTGGGAACAAGGCTATCTGGCCATGTCCATATTTTCGGAGAAGGCCATAAATTTGATGCGTGCATAAAAAATGCTTTTCGATTTCCTTCGACACACATAAATTCTTGGCCTCGGTCACGTACGAGCAGGTGTTGGCCACCATCAGTTCCTCGAGCCTTGTCTTTTGGCCATTTGCCCGAGATACTGACGACAGCGAGACCGGGTCTGAATCGTAGGGAATCAATGAGAGTGGACTAGAGCTTTGTTCTCTCCTCTTGGTTTTATTTTCCAAATATTTATTGCATTTTGTTGATTTTGCAGAGCGACCAAAAAAGCGACCGAAAAATCTACCCAAAACGTTTTCCGTTTGTCATAAATTTATGTGGGCCACATACAACACGGCCATAGAAATACATTTAAACTGAAATTTCGGCCGATTGGCGTTGTGTATATAGTATGGTGTATTTTTCCGGGGTTTGTTTTGCCAGCGATTGCATAATAACATCGTTTGTTGAATGGCCCACAATGGCAATAAATTAACATTTTATATGGAATGCTGTTTCGGCGTGTGTGAGTGTATATATGTATTTATATATTTCCACACTATGCAGTTGGCTAAGCCTTTTATGGCGCGATTATCGGGGAGAAACATTTTTGGCATTCCAATAAGCAGTTATTCAAAGCGGATTTGACCGGGCTTCATGGCCAAGTCAGGAATAGTCGGAATAGGATACGGATTTCAGATGCCTTTTCTCGAAGGATTCCTCCTCCGACGAGATGCCTCAATTTGAGTTGCACACTTTCCGGAAGCATTCAATCCAATAGTCGAACCGAAACGAGAACATATTTATGAGGTTTTGTATTCAATGCTTTTGCTCTTATTTATTTATTTTAATTATAAACTCGTACAGAGCAAAGAGAGCAGGCTAAATTGAAATTCTGCATGGCAGGATAACAAGGATATGGAATAAGACCAAGCTGAAAAGCAAACAGCAACAGTGGCCAAGTGTTTGGCTTGAGGCGTTCCAAGAGTATTTTGTGCATATTTTTATACCCTTACAAAATGTTTTACGGCTATGAAAAGGGATATCATATTACATAAAATCAAAATTAAAAATCTTTAAATAAATAATATTATAAAAATGCTTTTTATATAATTCTTAATTACAATGTAATAATGAAAATATAAATATTGAATAAAATCCTTTAAACCTTAGCCTAGATGTATGCAACGCAATTTTTAATGCGGCCATAGTTTTCCCCTTTATATGTAATACTCCGAAATACCAGGAAATGTATTTAGTATGGTTTTAATTCACTTTCTACGAAGTTAGCATTCTTTTTTTTTCAAGGGCATTTCCAGATTCGATCTTTAAAGCTCAACTGTTCTCCGACTCTCCATCTTCATCATATTCTTTTTTTCTTTTGCGGCCAGTTCTGCCCACTTCAGTGAGAGTGAGAGGGAGAGGAGGTCGTGGCGGAGGAGGAGAGTGTGTGTGAGAAAGTTTTGTGGAATGCAAGAAATATGCCAAGTGCGAAGCTGTCTCCCTCCTGCTCGCACCCGCATCAGCACCCACACAACGCACACATGCACACCGCTCTGGGCACTCTAAATCACACACACTTACGTCTTGGGTAAATGTTTGCGCTTGTGTGCACGGCCGCGAGAGCTTGCTTCCGTTATTATCCGTTTGATTAGAGAAAACACAACATTTTGGCCTAATTAGAGTCAGAATGTCAAAACATTGACTTTGCCTATTTGGCCGGACATCAAAGCACACGAGAGGGAGACAGGAAGGTGGAGGAGGCGGAAGCCGGAGGAGCTAAGTTAGCAGCACTTGTAATGTAATGGCAATGGCAGAGCAAAGAATGGAAATGGAAGCGAAAACAGACTCGAGAACAGCGAAAGCAAAGGCAACAAAGCCAAGGACGCGGACATGGACGCGGATGCGGACGAAAACGAGGACATCCAATTCAAATGGCCCCAAACCCATGAGTTGCCAATGAAGTGCACAAAAAACGACTTCAAGTACTTGGCCATTTTGGTTTTTTCCGCTCCACCTCCCACTGTCTCCCCCGTTTCGTTCGCCCTTGGGCAATGTAAACACATTTGATATCCAGCAAAGAAACAAAAAAGACGGCACAGGACAGTGTCGTCCAAGGGTGCCATTTTAAGAGGGGGTACTTATATTAAGGTATTTTTGGGTGTTAGAGAAATTTGTGTCGGATTTAAATCCACTTGAAAATGTTTCTAGTGGGATTACTTTTAAATTAAATAAGTGCATTCAAATTGTTTCAGAAGCTTTTTGCTTCTAAGGCAATTATACACATTTATGTTTTAAAATAGTGAATGGTATTGCATTGAATACGCTTTAATTGATTTAATTTGAAGTTAGGATATTGTAGACCCCTTCCAGCTTCCAGACAACGCCACTGGTGCAGGGCAGAAGTCAAAAGGAAAGCAAGATTTGGTTCCGAGCAACAACAAAGCGGGTGAGCCACTTGAGCTGAAGAGAGCAAGTGAGAGATTGATTTTGCTCTCTTCCTTGATATTATTCCATGCTGGTCGCTGAATCAAACGGGATTTTTGCCTGCTGGCCGATTTGTTAGCTTTTTCCTTTCCCTTCCTTTCCCTGGCTGGCTATTTTCCTCCCGGCATCCCCCTATCCCGCTCGCAGTGCAATAATTTCTCGTTAGCCGCTCACTAAATGCAAGCAAATTTTGTCATTTGGCCGGGACGTGAGTTGGTTGCTCAAGGAGTTCGGGCCAGGACTGGCTTCGTCCTCTCACATTAGTGCGGCACACTAAACTTTTCCAACCTGCAAACTCCCAGCAATTTCATTATGCTTACACCACCACTCTAACGCACACAATTATATAAGCGTGCACACACCCAAGACGGGTTCCAAGACACTATGGAAAAAATTGAAGGACGTATTTGAATCAAATTATTAAATATATTTGTAGTATAAAACAATTTGTAGCTCTTTGAAAAATAAATAAATATACCTAAAATTCGTTGAAATTTACTATTCTTTTTTCCCTGTGCAAGTTGCAGTAAGTGACAGAAGTTTCATTTCTATTTCAGTTTGTGTTTGAGTTTGAGGTCGCCGCTGGTGTAAGGTCCCAGGCACGTAGCTATCTTCCTCCAGACTCCGCCAAGGAAACTCTCGCTCCCTCTCTATCCCACGCTGTCGTCGCTAAGTCCTTTATAATAAATAGTTGAGTCACTTAAGGGGATTAATGCTGAAATTAGTTTATGCCGATGAGATTAGGCATGACATGCCGAATGCCAAATCGCAAAGACGAGCACCGAATCTACTCGCAGATGTCCTTTCGGAAGCACTCACTGAATAATGAATTCGGCGGGTTAATCCACCGCAAACAAGCAAAAGTAATTTGAATGGGTCTATTTCCCCACCTTATTAACCAGTTGCCATAGATTTGGGCTATCTGTTTGGGTTTAACCGGGTTTCAGAGTGCAAACACAGGTAACATATAATGTGCATCACTATCTGATGTACCGATTGCGATCTATAAATAGCTTCTGATGTCATTAGTTGTGTATATTTCATAAAAATGCGAAACTCCCGCTATATGCAAAGCTGATTCGTTTCTTATAGAATATAAGAGATTGTTTATTATTTTTCTTTTGGAACTATAGACATAGGCATGTGACTGCCAGCGCTAATTGATAAGTAAGCACGCTCTCTTAAACGTTCGATTCTTTCTCTCTCATGTAGCCCACACATATGTACACCATATGCCGGTTGTTGTTCTCTCTGCTGTTTACCTCTCATGGTCAGAATCAGCTTTCTGTATATAAGAAAAGAGAGCTTATATTGTTTATTTCAGTGGCTCTTCGGCGGTTGACTCGAACACACTCTCCGAAGCACCCCACGCTGCGCAGTTCGATTAGAACCTCTTCCCCCAACTCTCTTCCCCAAAACCCCTCTTAATACCCCGGATTTCCGAAATGGTGTTTGTGGAGTTGTTGTTATTTGTGGCCGTGTTCGGTTTGTTGCTGTACAAATGGTCCGTCCATAGTTTTAACTACTTTTCCAAACGGGGTGTGGCCTATGAGCCGCCTATTCCACTCTTTGGTAATATACCTTGGTCGGTGATGATGGCCAAGGATTCGTATATAAAACACAGGTGAGTTATTTATATACTTTTACACACTTGCTGATGTAAGAGCTACACTCTCTTTTGAAATAGCTCTTAAGTTTTAAGGTATTAACTCTTCTGTAAATCTCCCTTAGCATTGACATTCACATGCGCCTTAAGAGCCACAAGGTTTATGGTGTTTTCAACCTCCGCGATCCCCTTTTCTATCTCTCCGATCCGGAACTCATCCGCCAGGTGGGCATCAAGAGCTTCGACAACTTCTCCAACCATCGCAAGGGTATCACCGATGGACCCAACGATATGAGTTTCATTGGCAAGAGTCTGCTCAACCTACGGGATCGCCGCTGGAAGGAAATGCGCAATACATTGACGCCCACGTTCACCAGCCTGAAGATCCGCCAGATGTTTGAACTGATCCATGCCTGCAACGAGGAGGCGGTGGGTTATGTGCGGCGACAGTTGGACGCGGGTAACTCGGAACTGGAGCTAAAGGACTTCTTTACGCGTTATACCAACGATGTGATTGCAACGGCCGCCTTTGGCATTCAGGTGAACTCGTTCAAGGATCCCAACAATGAGTTCTATAGCATCGGGCAGCGTATCTCAGAGTTCAGTTTCTGGGGCGGACTCAAAGTGTTCCTCTATCTTATAATTCCGAAGGTGATGACGGTAAGTTTTCATTGCTCACTCAAAGGATTTTCTTTAATTCCCTTACCAAATCCACAGGCTCTTCGTGTTCCCGTGATGGACATGAATAATGTAGACTACTTCAAGAAGTTGGTCTATGGCACCATGAAGCATCGCAAGGAGCAGAGTATCGTTCGACCTGATATGATCCATCTCCTGATGGAGGCCCAGCGGCAGTTCCAAAAGGATCAGGAAGCTGCCAAGGGAGATGCTAGTGCATCGAAAGAGCAGCATGCCGAGTTCAATGATGAAGATCTCCTAGCCCAGTGCCTGCTTTTCTTTGCGGCAGGTTTCGAAACAGTTGCCACCTGTCTGAGTTTCACCTGCCACGAACTGCTCGCCAATCCCGAGGTCCAGCAGAAGCTATACGAGGAGATCCTGGCTGTGGAGGAGGAACTGGATGGCAAGCCACTTAACCACGACACCTTGATGGCCATGAAGTATTTGGATTGTGTTGTTTCCGAATCGCTTAGGAAGTGGCCGCCAGCATTTATCATCGATCGCATGTGCGCCGCAGATTTTGACCTTAAGGATGAAGAAGGCGAGGTGATAGTGAAACTTCAGAAGGATGAACTAGTGCATATACCCGTGGCTGCCATACACCATGATCCCGATAACTTCCCAGAGCCGGAAGTATTCCGACCGGAACGCTTTGATGAGGAGCATAAGCACGAGATCAAGCAATTCACCTATCTGCCCTTTGGTGTGGGTCCACGGAGCTGCATTGGCAACCGAATGGCCCTCATGGAGGTGAAGTCCGTGCTCTACCAGTTGCTCCGCCAGTACAAGCTGAAGCCCACGGATCGCACCGCAACGGACTTGATGAGCAGCATCTCAGGCTTTAGGATGGTGCCGCGGGAACTGTTCTGGTGCAAGTTTGAGTTGCGCGAAGGAGACAAGTGAAAAACTAACCAAATTCTTTAAATATTTATGTGCATGTAACCCATATACCTCAATAAATAAATAACTAAAATATATTTTGTTTTTAATTACATAACAGCAGTCTCCAGCACATATAAATAATAATGAAAATTACTAAAGAAACGAGAGAAAAAGTGGAGCTGACAAAACGTGGACAATTTATTTATTTGTTGTGGACACCCTTGCACCGACAAAGTTGACAAATTTGTCGCGGCAATGTTTCACTTTTATGCTGTGGCTCCCTACGTTTGCTTTTTGCCCGGGGTTTTTCCCGGGTTTTCCGGTTTTACAGTCGAATGTCACGGGCAGGGATTCCAAGTTAGGAGCAGGCGACATGCCACGTCATAAGGCTGTCAGGACATGATGGCCGTCGCATCCTAGGTGCTTGTATGTGTTGTATGTTGTGTTGCGGTTACACCGCATAAAATAACAAGGACAAAACAGTGATGCCAGGGCCACGCCCCAGCTCCAGTCCCTGCTCCAGCCTCTTGTTTATGATGGGCCAACATAAGCCAAAACATACGCCCACTCACACACGCACACACACACACACGGGGAAAAGCACCCACACAGGACATTAAGGATTATTTATTGAGAGTTATTTTTCAGGCGGCATTAAAATTTTTTCGGTACAATATGAATTATATTACACTCGTGTCATAAACCCTGTGCCGCAGCGAGGAGTGGGACAGGTGGAAAACTGTCGTCCTCCTCCGTCACGTCATCCTCCCTCACCTCCCCCCTCGATTGACAGCCCAAGGTGTGCAATGAAGTAAAGGTAGATAATTAACATCAATCTGTGTTTCAATGGTCGCAACGAATCGAATCGAAATTGATGGACAGACAGGAGGAATGTCTGACTGGGCTGAAAAAGTTCTGTAAAATGGATGAAAATATGGCCAGAGAAATGGTAGAAGCTGAGGAGTATTTTCCGTTTTGATTGTTCAACTCTTCTTTCTCAAAAAAGTATCAAGGGAGATTGAATCAAAGGTAAAGATAAATGTATACATAGGTATTTCAAAATAAAGGATTCATGTTTGTGGAAAAAGAAAATTTAACAAGGAAAAGATTGAATTATGGGATAAATTCCCTTAGAATTTATTGAAAGGAGATATATCTAGGAATATATATCTAGTTTAGAGGTCTTATTTTCATACTCTTATAATTTCAGTCTGACAAGCAAGTATCAATAAACATTAGGCACCTATGATCAGTAAGTAGCTATGATCAGTAAATACCAATGAGCAGTAATTAACTATGAGCATAAAGTAACGCTGAACACAAAGTATCTATGACCTGTAAGTAACTATGATCAGTAAGTATATGTGACCAGTCACTAACTTTGAACACTAATAAACAATGACTTGCAACTTTTGTAACACAACACATTTCTAAGTCTTGGCCGGGAGAAGTCACTTCGTTCCGGGGATGTTAGAACCAGTTGGGAATCACAAGCATATATGTGTAGATTTGTTTTGGAACAAATTTAGTAGCAATTGAATAAAACTATGGAGTTATTCTTCTATATAATTTTACTAGTATATAAGTCGGAGCATGCCGAATCGGTGGACTATATATATATACGTATATATAGCTGCCATAGGAACGATCGGAAAATTTTAGAAAAAAAAAATCATAACTTTACTGGTTTTCAACAGATTTTTATCAAATTTAATATATTGTAATTTTAGATTAATCAGGAATTTTGTGTACAATTTTATGAAAATTGGACGACTATATCATATAGCTGTCATACAAAAGATCGTTTCTTGTTTATCAAATAATAAATTAAAATAATTTAAAAATTCCGTTCAATGTACGAAAAGTACTTAAAATCAAATGCAACCAACTTTTAGGACCAAGTTCCCCTTTTTAATATATAGCCACAAGGATATAACAAATTTTATGATCCTTTTAGGCCCTCAGCTTAACGCCCACAATTTGCATAGTTTTAATTCCAAACTCGGTTGTTAACTTACAAAACATGGCAAATCACATGCCACATAAACCAGAATTGTTTGAAGAACTTGTGGCCCTAAATTTCTGCATCATTTGATGACCAGGCTGACGACTGACAGGGTGGTCAAGTACGGAGCACGCCTATGGCCATTAGTCTGGCACCCGGAGTAATAAAAAAAAATAGCAAAAGGCAATTACCAGATATGGAGAACATTATTCACACAATGTAACGCACGTAATTAGTTGCATATAACTTTGGGGCCTGGAGCTGCTTCGTAAAACTTTCAGCGCGGCTTCAAATTAGTTGAATGTTGAATGCTTTTTTATTGGCAGCTACATAGCTGCAGCCATGACTGGCCCCATGCAAAACGAGTCGGTCCAGGATCGAGTCTCATGTGGAGGAGTGTGTGCGAGTGTGTGTTCTAGTCTGCCACAATATTTGCTTAAAAATGAGGCAATGGCAAAGGCAGTGGCAAAGTGGAATTAAAGCGAAAAGTTTGCGAGATGCTGGCGGGGATAACTAAGCAAACGCTTTGCGGTTCCCGCCCGGCTCTGTTCTGTCTTGTTTTATGGCCGAAGTTTTCGAGTTTGCCGACGGCTTCTTCAAGTTTTTGGGGTTTTTGCAGCTTGGCTGCTTCGTTTGGGTTTTCCTGTCTTCGGTCTTGTCAACGCTGCGTATGCGTAATGCCTGGTATGCCAACGTTGCGTATGCGTAATCTAGCAAATGTCATAAAGCGAAGCAAAAGCAGGACAACATTTCTATTCCTATTTCTATTCCTATTTCTATTCCTATTTTTGTGTCTCCTAAACTCTTGTTTTGTTTTGTTCACAGCAGCAGCCTTATCAATCAATTCACCCACACAAATACACCCTCTATCCCTATACATATATACACATATAGAGTATAGTATCTGAAGCTCAGGGCAGAGGTCATAAAGAAACTTTGGCGCCGCGACCGCCAGACGCCACCAGAAGCATTAAATTTTCTCTCGGCAGACGCAAAGAGCAAAGGAAAAAAGAACAGAGAAAATAACAACGAAAAAGCGAATAAAATAAAAATGTAGGATGTGCGGGATGTTTGGGGATTTTTCTTTTTTTGAGGTCTTGGGTCTTAAGGGGGAAAATGTAGGCGAATAGGAGAATAACAGCAATGACGACGATACAATGATAATGCCAAGAACAATAAGACGAAAGGAGCAGGCGGCAGGCAGCCGCCAAGAGAATGCTGAGCATTAACAATTTGGCACAATGGCAAACTGTCGCACACGAGTTTTCCTTCATTCTTTCCCCTTCTGCGTTTTTCCGCCTTCGCACCCATCGCTTTTCCATGGCTGCGAGATGCGTTTTGCGATAAGCACGAAGCGATAACATTTGGAGACAGAGTGTGTGTGGGTGTGTGTATTTTTGGGGTGTGACAAGTGTTTTCCCTGGTGTATGCGCTGCTGTCTTTCTAGAGAAATTTTGTGGAAATTCCAAGCCTCAACGTTCAATCATCAGTCCTACATGAGGCCTAGTGACAAATGGATAATTGTGAACTTGTCTTGAAGTACGATTGTATTTTCAAATAATGATTTATTTGAATTCTTTAGAGATTAGGTGAGATCTGTAAAATATATGAGATAATTTTTGATTTCACAAAATCATTACTTAAATAAATATAAACAAGATTTAAGGCTAAAAATAATTAAATTTAAAAAAGAGAAATCCGTAGGGTTATAATGATCAACAAACATAAATAAGAGGATATTTAAACAATTATTTACTTACAGCCGCAACGGCTGTATTTCTGTATTTCTCTATTTCTAACTCTCTGCCTCGCTCTCTCAATTTCTCTGACTCTCACTCTCTGTTCATCTCTAGGTGCACCTCTCCATTCACTGCCTATCTCTAGTGATATCTCTTACTCTCTCGCTCTCACTTTCTCTATTCTCTGTACTCGGGGACTATAAATAGAGGCAATACCTTCGCGCGCGCCTCAGTCTGTCCGAGGGGTACCTAGTGTTTACATCTCCAGTGATTGTGGCAATGATAGTGATAGTGCACTTCGACTATAAAAATATCACCCAACCAATGGATAACCAGGAAGAAGCTCATTTCGATGACACAGCTATAAGCCCAATTGAAGTCACCAAGAATGTAACTAACTCTACTCTGGATGGAAGTAAGTAATGACGTGTCTCTTCTGCTGCGGTAAGTCTTAACCATTACTAATATATTTTATATATAAGAGCTATATGAGGGATTAGAATCAGTTGTGCTAGCTATGCATTTATTTTCCAGTAAATTCCCTTAATGCCATGGACCTCATTACTTAATTTTAATTTAAGTGATACAGCAATTTGTATTAAATATATTTACTCAAGGTTAACAGCTAATTATAAATTATTTACGAATTTGACTGACTTTGGCGGCAACTTTTGCTACATTAATACATATAACTTTTCAAGGTATTATAATTTCATTCAGTAGCTTAGAAATCAGTGAAGGAATAATTTCAAATTTTTAAATTTTAAAACTCTATAAACAGATTTGTTAACCTCATAAAAACTAGCACAGAATAGCTATCCGAATTAAAATTAAGGCATTTTTGGCTTAGTCATGATAATTGAAAAACTTGGATTTACGCAAAAAATTAGCATATAAAAGTATAGGTTTTTAAACACACTTTGTCTTCTCCAGTTACTTTTCTTTTTGTTGTTTTATAATATAAACTACTTTTAGACAGACAAAAAAAGATTGTTTTTGTTAAACCTCAAACAAATATGTGCATTTCAATTAGTTTTTAAAGGACTTTATGTCGGATTCAGATAAATCAAATTAATTTGTGTGTGTGTTTTTCCTGTTCCATAAGGATGTTCAAGTTGCAAGATGCTTTTTGAGGGAAATTCATGCCGCCCATTTTTGGGGGCAGACAATAGACAAGGACAATAACGATGCTAAAAATGCTCATATTCTGAAACTATGTAATTGAATCGGCCAACATTGTTTGCCTTGGTCCTTGTAGTCAAATATCTTTGTCCCATCTGACTCTGCTCTCCTTTGCTTATCGTTTGCCTGTATATAAATAAGAACAACCAGTTTTCCCAGTCGCCTCCCCCTTGGCCGCCGCCTGTCTCGGGAAAGCGTTGTTAACGTCTCTTGAATTCGGTGTAAGCAAGTTTGCCCCATAAGGAAAACAAGAAGGAAAAGCATAATTTGGAGAGTGCTTCAAGGGAAAGTTTCTTGTGTCGTTGGCAAGTTTTTGAAGACCTCCTCTCCAGAAGCCACACACACACCCGCTGGGATGGGTGCGGGGGGGTTGTGGGGTAAAATAAACATAATTTTATTTTCGGTTTTTATTTAATGCTTCTCCGCATTACAGCAATTTCAGCAACATTCTCCATGAGCTTGGGAAATTATGCGATGGCAAATCGAGTTTCAGTCCGTGATCGTCCTTGGTGAGTCTTTTGGTTTGGTTGCTCGTGCAGCATTTCTGCAGCAGGATATCATTGTCTAATGCACACTGGGTCCTGGCCAAGCGTGAATTTGCATTTGCTGGCGTTGTCATAAATCGCTTTGGTCCGTGCAGTAACAGCACCAGCTGCTGCCACACACACATTTGTGTGACATTTTTCGGTTTTGCTACCCTGCTATCCTGGCAAAAGGGATGTGGCGGCATGCGGCATGTGGCATGTGGCAGTTGGCAGGAAGCCGTAGGTAAAAAACTTTTAATATTTCTCCGCCGCCAGCTGTTGCCATTCCGCCTGCCTGCCTGCCAGTTGCATCCGGATGCCGGGATACCCGGGCTCCGCATCCGCCCGCAGATGCACAACACACAGCACAACACAAACAAAATTGCGGGGGGGAAGTCCCGGAGTAGGCCCCTTTGGCCAGGAATCAAAAGAGAATCGCCTGCGCTTATTTATGCCCACGCTGTGAAATTTAATTAGACCCCGCACGACAATTGTAAATATCTAGTGCAGGGCAACGGCTTGGAATGCGGGAGCTCAGAGCTTCCAGCTTGGAGCCCGGAACGGAGTGCCAAGTCCTTTTCCGGGGGGTTAGGAACTGCTGACTTTGGTGCTACATCCGCTCCAACCGCCGTTGAGTTGAAACAATGCCAACTGGCCGAAAAAGGACGCGACGTCCTTGACTTCCTTCTCGCCTTTGCCACTTTTCCCCAGCCCGAAAAATATATATGACTCTGCTATCAAAATAAACTCCTATCTATGGGCTAGGAAAATGATACCTTTTGATATTACACTGAGCTTATAATATTTCTTTTTAGGTTTAATATTACTTAAAAGAGTTTAAAGTTTAGAAAGGTAACTTTTAAAGAAAAGAGTGAAGGATATATTAGTGGAAAATCTTCAAATGCCTCAAATATTTATGGAATTACTACCTATAAATAAGTCGTAAGTATCGAAACTATTAAATATCATTATAAGGGATAAAGAATAAGCACTTTAGTTATCTATTTTAATGAACACATTCTGTACTCTGGATTATGGTTCTGAATGTTAAACCATTTTTTCCTTTTAGCTTAAAGTAATACGATTATGAAAAGGATCTCTGATACAAAGGATATTATTTTTATTTTCTGTGCACCGCCTTTGTTTCCTTTTTTGCGCTGGCTTTAATGAGCATCACCAGCAGGTGAAGGAATGCCGAAAGCGGATGCAGGAGTGGGATGTGACAGGTGATGGTCGGGGATGTTGTTTTGCGGAGGTGTGTTGGAGTATAGCATTGGGGCTTAACTTACTTTTTAGCAAATCCGCCAGTGTCGTGAAGTCGTTTATTTCAACTGCGTTTCAAACGTAAATGAAGTTGGCTTTTCGGACCGCCCGCTGGCGGTGTCTGTTACTCTCGCTCTTCAACTTTGGCTTAATTTTCAGGTCCCTGATTCGTCGCCTTTCTCACCTGCCGCTCCTGCTGTTGTTGTTATTTGTTGCTGCAGCCGAAGGATACGCATTAAAATTAAAAAAGGAAAACGAAAGACAAAGGAATCTGGCCAAGACGAGGCGGTGGGGGGAGGGCTTATTCCATGGAATTCTTTTGTTGTTTTTTCGGTTTTTCGGGTGAGAATTCACAAAGGAAGGGGTAATGGTCTAAAGATAGGACATTCGAGATAACATAATGCGGATTTCCGAGTAAATTCGTGGGACATTTCTGTTGGTTTGGCCCCCAAGGGACAGCCAAATCTCAATTTCGGTAGCTAATTCGCTTTAAGTTAGCCTCGCCTTCGCCCAGGTGGCACATTTCCTGCTTTCAGCTGCGCTTGCAGGTGTGATAATAAGTACCTAAAAGCCATTTCACATTCAGCTGACAACAGCTGAGTGTGAGTGCTTTTAGCGCTTTAATTTCTTGGCCTCAAAGAAGTGCAGGCGAGACTGAAATGCAAATGGGATAATGTGGCTAACTGACATGGCCGTATCAAATCTAATATCCACTGGGCCGTTGCCTGCTGCTATCATAGCGCACTGGCAGATAACAGTAAATAAGGAGTCGTCCTTGGCAGCACGGGGAGCACTTAATAGTTGCCTGGCGTATCCATTAAGTAAACATGACTCGCTAAGCCCAACGGCCGGATGGGTGGTAAATGGCTCTGCTCCTCGTGCCTTGGCCACCGCACTGTCAATGTACATTAGGATTGTTTTCCTTCTCAGCTTGAGATACTCCTTCTCCAAAACAACAAAATAAAGCATAAAGAAAAGAAAACAGAAAATATAAGAAATGAGGGAGTTCTCAAAGTCAAAAAAGGGAAAGAAAAGGGGGGAAAACAAGAGCAACGACTCTCTGTGTTGTTGCGTATAAACGCTGAATATTTAATAAATGCAAACGGAGATGCGATACATCCACACACTGAGAAAGATTTGCCTGATTTTGATCTTGATGTATATATTAAAAATATCTTTGTATAATAATATAAAGGATTCCAGACCAAAACTCTTGGTTTAATTATTAAATGCATATTAAACATTCTAGAAAAGAACTCCAAGTTTGTACTTTAATTTAAGCTCTTAACAATATTGAGTAAGGAATAGGAGAAATCTATATTTTACCAAGAGACTTAAATGCTTTTAAAAATATATTTTTATCTGGAATTTCAGCTGCCAAATTTACAATTAATTTTTAGGCGAATTACAACTTATTTAACTGAGATTACTATTTATTAATTTGGTTAGAGTCTTGGGTCTTTTTGGCTGGCTTATTTTAAGGAACACAGACAAAGTTATTATAATATATATTTTATATTTTATAAACTCCCTTCTCTGGCCTTAGTAATACCATTAAATTCTTGGTTAATAGGTCTAAAAATTGCACATAAAACAAAGTTTTGCCAGAGAAGAGGCTAAGTATATAATATTTTTAAATACTTTTAAGGATACTTCTTCTCAAGACAATCGCTTTACATTATTGTGGCATTATTTATATTCTTTAACGTGCACACCAGGGAGTGTGTTTGCACACACACTAGCACACCTCACCCCGATCTCTCCGTTAAAAAGAAAAGCACAGGAAAATGCTTTTGCTCGAAATCAACTTAAGCATCGCCACACCAGAGAATTGCTTTTGCTCATTCGCTGATGATAACGCGAACTGAAGAGACTTGCAGCTTTTAGGGAGCCCCAAAATGCTTTTGATATTTTATTCATGCCGCTGCTCCCAGGGCTGTCAATTGGTATTAGGACATTATAATTTATTGATGAAGAACAGCAACAACAGCAAGACAACAGGAGCAGCCGGCGGCCTTTTGTAAGCGGTTTATAATTCGCACTCGTGCAGTGAAAGCCAGAACGTCAAGCGCACAATTAACGGGCACCTCTCGAGTTAGCCACAAGCAACTTACACACAGACACACACACTCGCACAGCCCCACACCCGCACACCCTGTCTGCTGCACACACGAACTTTTCAAGCCGCTCCACACGACGTATACGCAATATTCGCATCAATCATCCGCCAGCGCGTCCACTCGCCACGACGCACCAATTTCAACTGACACAACTAGCCATTCTGGATGCTGTCTGAGCCTCGGTTTCGGATACGGAGGGAACTCGTTTTCGGAATCAGTTTCGGAGTGGCATGCAACTCGTGGCACTGGGCCACTGGCACACGCGACCAGGACGCAGGCGCCAAGAGAGAGAGCATCCTGATGGCACGGCGTGGCAAAAAGGACCAGAATTAATATGCATAAGCGGTTGCCGATGACGGACCAGCCGTTCATTGATAGATTGTCGTAATGAAATGCAAATTACTTGTCAATAATTGCCGGACAACTAGCTCTTCAGACGACAGAGAGTTAAAGTCCATGGCGATTAATCGAGCTTCAAGAATTGATACTGGAAGATATACATAGTTCAATTCTTTGCTTTAGATCCTGGAAGTTAAATTTCAAAGATTTCTAAAATGCTGATTTCTATATGTCGCTCACCACTGTTCTTCCTGAACAGAGATTTCTTTTTCAGGTTTCACTTATTTTTTAATTAATTCATAAGTTGCAAACGTATCTACAGGTCCTCAATTATTGCCAGTCAGATATCAGAATTAATAATTTGAACCTTGCTGGTTGCTGGTTGGTGTCCAATCGTCGAGGAAACGCAATAAAGAAAAATATTTATTTATGCGAATTCCATTCGGGGGGCTCGTAAATCTCTCGACACCATCGCTACCAGTGAAGCTCCATGACCGAATATTTATGACTCTGACTATTACATACTTTATTATTGTTAATATTCAGCGGAGTTTATTTTGTTAGCGATATAAATTCTGTTTCAGCCAAGTGGCATACGAAGGGAATTTAATTAAAAAGAAAAATAAATTAATGTATACAATTTACTTTTAGAAAATTACCTCTTTTTGTATAAAACCTCAATATTGTTTTTGGTAAACCCAAATAAATTACACAAAAATCATAGTTTCAAAACTCCTTTCAAGTCTCAAGAATCTCTTCTCATTTTTGCAATGAAAATTGTAATTTTTCGGCCTCGTCATGACCGCTTAACATGTGGGGATTGTTGCACTTGTAGCCTGTCATATTGTCAACATGTTCCTGTTCCATGTGTGGTACATCTGTGTCGTGGTTTTTGCTCTGCTTGAATTTTCCCGCCAGCGCCTGGGATTACTGCCAGGAGAACTGGTGTCCTCGTTCCAACGACCATGTGGCCTGTAACAACAATGGTGTAAGTAGAGAGCTCTGAAAATATTTTTCCAAGCTTGATTTGCAGAGACAAACTCTGTTAAAAGGTAATTATACTATACCTCTTGAAGAATAGGGTATATACTATATACATTTTCTATAGAAAAAGTACTACCTCAATATCCTGAGTCAGATCACATAGTCCTTGATCAGGATATAGATAATGTACAAACCCAAGCCAGCAAAAGGAGTGGTTTTAGTTCCTTAGAATACTTCAGGATCATATCTTTAAGTTTAAAGGCTTCACCTTATCCAAACTTTCACATTTATTAATATTTAACTCTCATACTCTTCAGTTAACACTTAAATAAGGACTCTTTTATTGTTCACATACATACATACAACAACTTAGGAGGTAGTTTTAGCAGATTATCAAGGGCCCGCCCAATGCTAATCCTAATGCGGATTCTCCTGGCGATTGGGTTCGATGGTGACACGGGCATAGGGACTGCCGACGCCCACCTTCCGGCGCATGGTGACGCCTCGGTGCGGACGCAATCCCATCACGATCAGGTAAATGCCGGCGGCACTAAGGGCAATCAGTGTAAGCACCACCAAGCCGTAGGCCCAGCGTGGCCAGGAGTCACAGCTGAAGGCATCGGCGCGGGCGGAAGTCACCAGCATGCCGCGGATGCGAGCGGGCTTGTAGCAACGCCCGTTGGTCTGCACCGGGAGCTGCTTCAGCCAGAGCAACTCGCAGTCACACTGCAGCGGCAAACCGTTGAGATCCAGTTCGGTAAGTTGACTAAAAAGCGGCGCCAGCGAGGAATTAAAGGAGCGCAGCATAGTGCCACGAAAGCTCAGTGACCGCAGTGCCCATTTCTTCCCAACAGCTGTCCTGGGGATGTGACCAAAGGCCTCAGCATCGAAATGGGTCAACCGGCGGCTATTCTGGAAGCTCAGCGTCTCGAGCAGCTCCAGGGGTGTCAGGGAGTTAGCCACAATGCTCTGCATCAGCGACATATCCTCCACATAGAGCTGGCGAATCTGGGTAAGGTTGGAAGTATCTTCGTGTAGGAGATGCTCCAGCAGGTTGTCACTAATGTCCAGGCGCACCAGCGTCTGTGGAAGCCGCCTGGGCATACGCTGCAGCAGGTTACGGCGCAGGGAGAGCTCTTTCAGGGGCACATCCTCGGGCAGATGAAGTTCGGTCAGGCTGCAGGCATCCAGTCGCAGTGCATTCAGTTTCCAATTAATTCCCAATCCGGAGTATAGATCCAGGTTCGTTTCGTTGAAGCGTCGGTTCCAGGATAGGTCCAGGGTGCCAAGCACCAGCATAGGAGCAAATAGCTTGGCCGGCAGCGAGTGTAGGTTGTTGTGGGCCAGGTCGAGCACTTGTAGATGGGGAAGACCCTCAAAGGTGGTTGCCTCCAGCTGGCCAATGCTGTTCCAGCCCAGATAAAGCTCCCTCAAACTGGTGAGCTGCTTGAAGTTGCCGGCCACCAAGCGAGAGATGTTGTTGTGCATTAGGTTTAGTTGGTGCAGGCTGTCGCTGGTGAAGATCGGTGCAGAATCGAGGGCATTCCAGGACAGATCCAGTGTGTCAATGTAGAGGGGCAGCAGCTGGCTGAGCTCGGCCACCCGGTAATCCTTGTAGCTGCAATCGATGCGCAGGGCACGCATGCCCCAGGGCGAGGCACTTACATTGCTGCACTCGCAGGAGCGACGCGAGTTCCGAGCGGATTCCGGGTAACAAAAGCGATCTGTCTCCTCCACAGCGTCGATATTCTCCGTACGACCAAGTCCGGTCAACTGCAGCAGCAGCAGTAGCAGCAGCGGGGCAAAGGTCACTCCCCGCCTTGTCATTTCTAAACTTGCCATGGTAAAGATTCTCGTTGCACTGAATAGCTACAAAGAGGATGATGAGTGGCTTCCACTTCCATATCTTATCGCATGGCGGAAAAGCTCGCCAGAACTCTGACTCGATTTTTCCAATAAATTTTATCAGCAAAATACTTTGGTCTTGCCCTGATAGAGTTAGTCATTGGAGAACATTTGGTTACGGCCATGGTAAACAGAGACTGCTGCGATGAGCAAAAGCCCAAGCCGATTTTTGAATTCCATATCTTATCGCGGGAATGGAAGCTTTGCCCCTTATCACGCTCTCTGTCTCTTTCTATTAATATGAGTGTCTCCTTCCACCAAAGCTAAAGCTTTTCTGTTATCTACCGATATCTAGTATTTCATTAATCATTTCCAACACTCCCCGAGGCGGCGGGTTAAGTCGGGGACATGGATTCACAATATTGATGGATCTCTCTATAAAGCCTCCAATTTCACACTCCGAAAAATGGCGGCCAAATCACATTCGTTTCAAAAGTCACGACTAATCCCGCCTGGATGGGGGACTTATCTAGCTCATTGCATCGCAGAGTCAAGCCTTGGGTTCAAATTGTAATTACGCTTAATGCGTTTGACTGGGGGATTTTCTATTGAATCCAGGATATGTTTTGGAGGCTAGCCATCTCCAGCTCCAAGGATTTCTCTTGTGGTTCTTATGCGGCTTAATTGCTGCTGATTTTAAAAAAGGTGGTTTGGGTTTGAGGGTGAGGAGAATTTTTAAATTTAAAAGGGAAAGGAGTGCAGGTATTCATTCAAGGATATAATTATACATTATACAATTTAAAACATTTTATAAGCGTTTAAACCAACCATAGTACTATATATTTAAATAATATATATCAATTATCATATTGTATATATAAAGTTGTATATTTACAGCTTACAACAAAGATAGAGAAGACTCTCTTCACATTGCATAACTTTTCTATCTTTAAGATATCTTTATTCATTTAAGCTCTACTTCTCTGAGTTCTTATTGCAGAATCTATTTCGCTTTGTTTTTCTATGAAATCAAGTTAATATATTAAAGTCTAAAATCATCATAGAACTATCTAACATCTAGAGCTATAGCAGTTCCTTAGAAAGTACCCTCTAGTCGAGTATTTTATATTTTTGTCGCGCTACAGCGAACTTTATGGTGGTCTCTTTACGTTTGCAATTGCTTTTACTACTCGCACAATTCGCAGTGCCTTTGGGGCGATAGAACTCTTCTTTGTGTCAATGGAAAATTGATGAGGCTTACATAAGTGCACAGCGCCTCCCTCACCCCCTCCGGCACAGGCATAGGCATTTGCATAAATTAAGGACTTTCAAAAAGTCGGAGGCCCCCCAGACAAGTTTTCCTTCTTGACTTTTCCACAATCGAGTGGGAAAAGTCAGCACATGTAAGGCATTTAATGAGCTGTGTGTGAGAATGTGCGTGTGTGGGTGCTTAAATTTATTGAAAATGCCAGGCACATGCTGGTGTTTCCGCCCCTCAAGTCATTATTACAAGCAAAAATGTATTTTTAACTAAAAACTCATTAATTACACTGAAAATTGGGCATAGGTGTCTGTGTGCGTGTGTGTGGAATAATTACGGCATTACAAATAATTTAATTAAAGCCCAATTTTCGCACATCTGCAATAATGGAATTGTTAATTAATAGGCCGAATCAAAAGCGCCCAAACCCATCAATTGTCGAAAGGGGATATTCCAAAGCGTATGTATTCATATATGAATCATGTTACAAACAGGCCTCGCTTCTCCTGTTTTGGTCAGGAATTGAAAAACAAAATCCTCTCTAAACGTGCCAAACATGGCCAACGCCAGGTCCTGCAGCAGTCGCCCAGGCAGAATATTTATGAAAGTTTTAATATTAAATGGTTTTCTGATGCCATTCGCGGTGCCCACAGGGAGGGAGAGTGAGGAAAAGAGACAGGCTTAATCGAGGCGAAAGAGACAGACAGACAGGGCTGGCAATCAATGGCAGAAATGCAATTTCCCGCGCAGGATATGCAATCATTAAAAGCGCTTGATTATCCACAGCGAGCGGCATTGTCCTGCGCCCTCGCAGGCTATAATGATGCTCAAACTGTCACAGTAAGTTCCATGTATATATATCTATATATATATATTTATATGTAGGTCCCAGTGCGACAGTTTATGGCGTCCTAATTGAATCGCTTGTCTGCATTTGTCTAATAATGGCGCATTAATTTGCCGTAATGTGGGGCCAGCTTCCGTTTCCCGGAAATCATCAGTGCAGCGTGTCCTGCACGTGACTGTTAGAGAGAGAGAGAGAGAGAGAGAGAGAGAGTCCTGTCCTCCTGCTATGTATGCTAAATATCTCTGTCATGCCCTTTTAACTCGCCGGGCAAGTATGCAGGATTCACCCCAGAACACACTCGCACCCAGCACTTTCACATTTCTAATTGCCTTTGAAAGCGCTTCTGTCACGCAATTTAAAACTCGTAATTCCGCCAGACTGGGGCCTAAATTCATTAGACGGGCTTTAAGAGCTCACATTAACCCAAACACACACCGAGAGAGACATACACACACATTGCTCAGTTGCGGTTGCCATTGGGATATCATTCTCTTTCGCTGCGCTCAATTTAATCGACAAATTTAAAGAAAATTATTGTCTCTAATGGGCAGACGTGCCCACAGAATGCGACCTTTAACCGCAGGCTATATAGGAGGCGGAGTCGGAGGCTATTGGCTTTCCCTTTTTGGCTTTTAGATCCCCAGCAGCTGATAACAGTTGAATAATGAACAAATAATGGCTGGCACAACCTTCTTGTCTGCTCAAATATTAAGTATACGCCGGGGAGTCCGTCGAGCGAGCAAGCGAGCGAATGAGCCGAGAAATGTGTTGTAAGAACTCCATTGGAATAATAGATGAAGAATGGTTGTAATCCTAAATTGTACAAGCCCAATAATCCGTAACATAGCTCAAAATGGCCGAGTCTCCTTCCGCTGGTCACAGAAGATAATGTTAATTAGGGCAAAAATGTGCAGAATTTGGGATTTGCTTCATTGCATTAAGCATACATTGGGTTTAATTTCATTTTGTGCAGGATAATGCCATTAATTAGCAAAATGATATAGCAGATTTGCTACTCAAAATCAACATAATAGTGTTTGGGAAGGAGAATTTCTGTATGGAATAATCAAGTTGCTGCTTAATAAAGGTAATTCACTCAAGGATAACGAGGATTTGAGGTAACTCAATGAAGATTGTTTTGTTTTCTAATTAAATGAATTAATTGAAGATGTTTTTGGTAGTTTAATAACTATAACAAGTCATGCATTTTGTACATTTTACAGTGGTTTTCTTCATTAGGAGAAGAAATTTCACCAAGTATCTGGCATATGCCTTAAAACAATCATAGAATAAATCCCAAAATTCAACCTCTTACTTTCCATCCTTTCGAGAATGTAAATTTCTGTTTTGAATAATCATTTTGCACTTGTTATCCTTTGGTCTGTGGTTCCTGCCAGCTGCCCTTAAAGAGAGTGTACACATTTAAAGCCCTACTCCAATTTGGTTTCTTGGAAAAAAGGCAATTTGCAGGCAGCACAACATTTGTTGCTTCAATGCCAACATGCAAAGGCCGGAGTTTCATTTTGAGAGTGTTGTGGCTGGTCGGGCTTTGTTGGCTCTCCGGACGCAGGAGCAGGAGCAGGAGCAGGAACAGGAGCAGGATCCTCGGTCAACAGTGGCACAGTGGCTGGTGCTGCTGTTGCTGTTGCAGTTGCCCCTCGTTGTAATTTGATTTGTTTTGGCCGATTGCTACTGCGACTACATTGTTTCACAGCCGGTTGATACTTTTGGTTGCACTAATTAATTTTCACTCGCCAAACAAAAGGAGGAACTGATGCCCCAGGGAGATGCCCGAAATGCCCCCAGATTGCATTGTCTTCGACCAGGCCATAAATGTCAGCTGGGGCTGCATTTCCCAATTCAATCCAGCTGTCAATTTGAGTTACTCCTCTACAGATACTATATAGAAGAAACTCGTTCGGGGAAAGCCAAAACCGAAGCTGAAGATTTATTGCCTGTTGCCAAAAGCCCACAAAATTAATGTACTTCACAGTTGAGTTTAGCAGCTGCCCCGGGGTTCTGCTTCAGGTCCTGTGAGTCCTCTCTGTGTGTGTGCTTAGGCATGTGTGCCTGTGTGTGTGCGACGACCTCTCTCTCTGTGTGTGCTTTGGCCCTAATGAAGTTGTTAATGCGAGTGCTGTCCTGCCAATTCCTTCGTCGCGATGCTACTTGCCCCCTGTCCTGTGTCCTGAGTACACACGAAAATCTAATAAGACGCTTACGTCTCTTGCTGTTTGGGCTGTTTCGGTTTGTGTGTTTGAGCCCGGAGGCTTTCACACCCTTTCGAGGTCAAGTGGGGCCCCTCCCTGGCTCTTACATAAGCCATTAGCCATCGCAAAATGGCAGCCCGTGACAGTCATCGTGGCCTGTCCGTTCCTCTGTTCTTTCAAATTTTATTGCTTAGCTTTTTTTATGGTCAGCGTCTCCAATTTATATATGAGTCGAGTCGAGTCGAGTCGAACTCCCGGCTAGTTCTTCATCTTTTGCTTGGCCAGCATTTATTTTTATGCCCCTTGTCCTTGATTGGATCGTAAACTTAAGTTTCAGTGTGCCAAGAGTCCTTGGCAATAATCAGCCGAGGGGTAAAAGAGTTGCGCCATCAGCGTTTCATGAAAGTCCACTAAGGAAAGCACATAAAATAACATATATTTCGATTTAAAAGCTATGAAACATTGTTAAGATATAGTGTGTATAAAAGGGGTTTATAAGTGTACAATTAACTATTAATCTTAGTTACAAAGTAAAGAAAACAAGGAGTTAATAAAAGGCAAATAAGTATTGTTTTTGAATTACTTGAATTACTTTCATTTTGGTTTGCTTTCTCATATTTCTTTCACTGCAGTTTCAGTTTCTCTCTCTTAACTCTCGCTTTTTTTCGTGTTTGCTAAGA